GAGCAGACTGGGTTCCAGAGAGGGTCAGTGGCCTGTCTGGGGTCACACAGCCCATCACACTGACGCTGAGCCGACTTCACGCACTTCTTAAGCCAGCCCCAGCATCTCTGACACATCTACTTAGCTCCGGGTGCCCACCACCGCCTCCCCACACTGGCCCTCGCCTGGAAAAAAGGCCTCTGACTGGTAGGAGGTGGTCTGCCCTGCTCAGATCCCGAGATCCCACGTGGCTTGGCAGCGCCATCTGCTGGCTGTGGCTGGGGATTCAAGGACACTGGATGCCAGGGGTCAAGGCTCTGGCCTGAGGCTCTAACCAAGGGAGGCCATTTCAATGCCAAGATGTCCCACAGGCAGTCTGAGCCCCTGCTGCATTCTACAGCTGGGGAAACTGAGGTGCCATGTGACAAGTGTCCCCATGTTCACATGTCTGCATCTTTGCTTTGAGCTTGTTCAGCCCCTTGACCCCGCTGTGCCTCAGTTTCCCTACGTTTCACTATAAGGCTCGACCCTCCCACACGCACCCTGATGAGGCGAAGGAGCATAAATGTGTCTCCCCTAAGGAGAGAGGCGCTGTCTGCTCCCCAGCATCTCAGGCTGGCTCCCAGCACCCGGGAGACCTGTCACTTCCTCCTGCGCCTTTCCGGGAGCCGCTAAACTTCCCTCCTTTCTTCCCACCCCTCCCTCCTCAGCAGCCCTCTGCCTCTGTGACTTCCACTGGCTGCGCATCCAGCTGACCCATGACCAGGATAATCAGATTAGCATGGGTCTAGAATAATCTATTCCATATGGCTTGCCAACTCAGTGGCTCCAGGAGCTAAAGGTGTGAGGAGAGGGGGTGCCCATTGGAGGGGCTCCCTGGGAGCCTGGGGGCCTTTGCTGGGGGCGGAGGGGGAGGAGGGTGGTGGGGGACAGGCTGGGAGCTTCTTGCTGGGCCCTCTGACTGCTCTGGGCTCCAGGTGGCTGCAGCCCCCTCTCCAGCCCAAGCACGGCCCCATCTATCAGAGACCCAAGGGGGCTTCACATCCAGGGTGGGGCTGGGCCGTCCCTGTGCCTTTTCCACTCTGGATAAGAGGGGGAGTGTGCGCTGTAGGGCGTGGCTTCCGGAGTGGCCGAGCTTCACAATTCGGGGGATTCTACTGTAGACAGCTTCTCTGGCTCCATCCTCCAGAGGCTCCGGGTCAGCAGGTCCAGGCGGGTCTGGAAACCTCTTTCTTTTTACGTCTCCACGGGTCCCTGTGACTGTGGCAAGGTTTCACGGGGGCTGGAGCACTCCAGGGCATCGCCCCTGCCCCACGCGCTCACTCTCAGGGCCACCCCCAAGGAGGAAAGCAGCCCCTCGGGTCCTCCTGTAGAGACAGGGGAGGGGGCTGGGGAGGAGGAACACAGTCCTGGGCCCAGACAGAGCCCCACAGACCCCAGCTCTGCGCCCACCAGCCACGTGACAGAGAACCAGCTCTCTGCACCTCCGTTTCCTCATCGACAGGTGACAGTGACTCGCATCACAGTGTGGCTGCGAGCTGTGCCCCAGCCAGGCCCCAGCCCAGCGCCAGGCCCAAAGCACCTCGGGAAGCAGGGTCCACACAGTGTGAGTCCATCCTTGCAGCATCGGCACAGCAGGTTTTACTCACCCCACAACCCAGAAGCGGAGCTGGGGCCCAGAAATGGAGCATGTTACCCCGGGACACAGGGGGCACGGGGCAGGACAGGGATTCCATCCTAACCCCCACTGGCCACACTCCAGAGGGCTGTCCTCGACTGTCTAAAGGTCAGGGCGTCACAGGTAACAGTCGTTCCCCTGAAAGGGCTTCCCTCTTGGCTGGTGCCGAGCTGTGGCAGGGAGGCCCCTGGCAGGAGGGGAGCTTCCCAGGAGACGCGCCTGCAGATGCTCAGCCGGCTGGCAGGAGAGGAACCGTTTCCCTCTCCTGGGGCCTCTGGCTCCAGTGGGGACGGGATTAGGGCCTGCAAGGGGACTATTGACATAGCACCTTCGATTAGCACTCCTGTGTCAGGGGGCTGCTGGGAAATGAGGGCATCAAGGCCGGGAGGTGGGAGGGGGCAGCGCCCTGGACCAGGCTCGGCCTGAGGAACCCGGTGGGTTCCTAGCGGGAGGGCTGAGAGCCGGCCCAGCCTCAGAGGGTGCTGCCCTGTCCCACCTGCCCCCTCCCTGGCCAAGGACCCCCTGAGTGCTCCCCTCTGTCCGGCGGGGCTGCCCCAGGCCTCGTTCCCAGCCTTACACGCTGGCAGGTGGAGGCGGCTCAGGCCAGGGGAGCAGAGCCCTGGCCCAGGCACTTGTCACAACACAGGCCCCAGAGGTGTGAAGTCCTCACCCCAGCAGGAGGGCATGTGCCTGGAGAACTCATTAGCTCAGGCAGCTCCCAAAGGAAGCCACCGAGAGGCTGGTGATAAGGAGATCAAAGGCGGGGGGCCTGGAGGTCGTGAAAGGGAGGCTGGCTGACCGAGGGGGTGGGGCCCGGGCTGCAGGTTGGGGGTTCCTCCTCTGCCCCCACTTGGCTCCATCAGGTCCTCTGACCAGAGCCTTTGCACAAACTGGGCCCAGAGACCCCAGGGGACACAGGAGGGGGAGGGACTCAAAGGTCGCACCTCCAATTTGTCAGCCTTTAGGCTGAAGACCCCAAGATTGGGGTTGGGGTGAACTCTCCCATCTGCCTGCCTCTCCTGCCATTTCTGGGGACTCTTTGCCTCCACGGTCACCCCCGGGTCTTTTGAACCCTCTCTCCACCCTGATCCCAGAGAGCCTCCTCTCATGCCGGCCCACATGTCCCCTCCTGCCCCAGGTCGCTCAGGGGCTCCCGTGGAAGTACCCAGTGAATATTGATGCTCAGGTCACAGGCCCCAGAATCCTCGGAGACGAGAGCTGAACAGTCGGCCCCCTCACATCCGGCCTCTTGTGCAGGAGATGTGCAGTTGATCTCGTGCTTAATAAAGTAAGAATTCCTCTCAGAGGGTTGTCACCCACAAACCAGTGAGGGGGCTCCCTCTGCAGGGGAGCTGGAGGCCTCAGGGGCAGGACAGGAAAGAGATTGGCTGCACCTTCTGGACTGGTTGATGTTTTGCTATTTTAACCGTGTGCGTGAATTATAGTCAATAAATAAAAGATATGACAATAAAACAAAAGGGGGGCTGATGGCCTAGGAGGTTTTGGTCGTTCTGAGTTTTCTCAACTATCAGCTCCAAGTGGAAATCAGAGTCACGTGGGCGTTGGAGGGGTTTTTGACATGCAGAAGGTTGGCCCCGAGCACCCAGAGCACCCCCTGCCTGTCCAGCCTGCACCCCGCACCCCCTCCCGCTCGGGGGCACAACACTCTCTCCATTCCCATCGCTTGTTCCCTCGGGTCCATGGGCTCAAAGGGCTCTGTCACGGGGCCCCAGTGCCAGGTTCCGGGCTTGGATCTGGAGCTCCGGGAAGGCCTCCACTGGCCAGACTCTGGAAGGGCAGACCCTGCTGCCAGCGGCAGGCTGAGGAGGGCCGCCCTGGGCCAGGCTCTGCTGGGAGTCTGTGGGTCCTGCGGCTGCGCCCGGGAGTGGGCTCCTCCCCTTGTCCTCAAGGGCGGGTTGGCACTGCCCCTCCTGGGTGAGGGGTGGGCATAAGCGTCCTGGGGTGCTGGGGCCGACTGCAGAGGAGGGGTATGGAAGGTGTTAGGGGAGGCCCAGGGCAGTGGAAGATAAAAGAGACAAGGGGGGCAGGCAGAGATGCCCAGGGAGAAGGTGCCAAGCCACTTGGCCTTCTCTGCCACAAACCAGCTCAGCCATCACTCTCACAGGGCTGCAAGCCATGGCAGACACAAAACAGTGGACCCCCGGACTGAGAGAGACCCTGGGTACCACTTCTCTTAGGACGTGCTGCCAGACACCAGGTACTTCACAGTCTAGCTGGAGAAGAGACACCCACGCGTGAAGCAGCGATGGTGACCACGTGCAAACTCAACCCCTGAGGGGTCAGGCAGGCCCTGCAGATTCTCCGAGATTCCCCATGTGGACAAGCATGTTGTGTGAAATGAGACGGTCTTGTTTCCTTTCCGATTTGTAGGCCGTTTATTTCTCTTTCCTTATTGCACAGGCTAGACCCTCTCGTACAATGTCGCGTAGGCCCGGTAAGAGCCGGCGTCCTCACCTTGCTCTGGGTGCGGGGAGAGCGTTCAGTCTTTCACTCTTCAGTATGACGGGGCTGTAGGTTCTTTGCAGACGCCTTTTATCAGGTTGAGAACGTTCCCCTCTATGCCTGGTGTCCTGAGAATTTTTATCACAGAGTGTTGAATTTTGTTAAATGCTTTTTGTGTCATTTCCACTCACAATTCACTGGCAAAGCCCGTTTTATACCTGCCTCAAAGTGGCAAAATACGGTCTAGAGGCCAGTGGTGGCAGCTGTGGCATGAGGCCCAGCCCCTTAGCCCACCAGGTTGAGGGTGTCCTGGAGGGCGGCAGGCTTCCCTCCGGCGTTCATACCGTCCAGCAACCTGACCAGATCCGGCCAGCTTGCCGGATTCACCCGGGGCAGCTTCCTCATAGTGCCCCCCGCCCCAGGGAAGGGGACCTTCAGGACCAGCCAGCTTCAGAAGCAGGGCCCCACTCCCGGTCCCGACCTGATTCTACAGGCCCGGCTGCAGCATGCTTGGAGGCTCCCATTATACCATGGGAAAGGAAGATGCAAGAAAATTTAAGAATTTGCCTAAGGTCCCCAACAGGTGAAGGCAGCCCCACGCCCAGGTCCTGGACTTCCAGCTCTCTGACCTCTCTTCCTTCGACCTGCTGAGCTGGCCGGACACCCCCGCCGGCCGCGGGGCGCAGGCAGGATGTCCGAGTGGCCAGGTCTGGGGCCGACTCGAGGGCCCAGGAGGGGTCGACCTGGCGCAGCCAACAAGCTGGCATCTTCGCTTCCCCCCGACCCCCGTCGGTTCCAAGGCTCCGGCCCCGCCCCCGCCCGCCCGGAGCCCGCTTTGAAGTGCTGATGCAGCCTGGAAGAGGGCCCCTTCACACCTCGGTCTCCGCATAAAGCGGTCCCGGCCGCCGGCCCGCAGACCCGCCGCCGCCGCCGCCGCCGCCATGGCCCAGCCCCTGTGCCCGCCGCGCCCCGAGGCCTGGATGCTCTCCGGGGGCTGGGGCCCTGCCCGGCCGCCGCGGCCCTCCGACGGGGACTGCAGCTGCTTCCCTGCCTCGTCCTCGCACTCCTGGGCCAGCGCCGCGGACGGCAGCGCTGTGCCGAGCCCCGGGCGGCCCGCGCCACCTGCGGCCCGCACCCCGACAGCAGGGAGGCGCAGCGCCCGCGGCAGCCGCCTGGGCAGCGGGCAGCGGCAGAGCGCCAGCGAGCGCGAGAAGCTGCGCATGCGCACCCTCGCCCGCGCGCTGCACGAGCTGCGCCGCTTCCTGCCGCCAGCAGTGGCGCCCGCCGGCCAGAGCCTCACCAAGATCGAGACGCTGCGCCTGGCCATCCGCTACATCGGCCACCTGTCGGCCGTGCTGGGCCTCAGCGAGGACAGCCTGCGGCGCCGGCGCCCGCGGCCCAGCGCCTCGCCGCGCCCTCGGGGCTGCCCGCTCTGCCCCGACGGCGGCCCCGCGCAGGCGCAGACGCAGACGCGCGGCCCGGGCCTGGGCTCCGCAGCCGGCGCCGCGGTGTTCTGGGGGTCTCCGCCCGCCGACCCCGGGGCTCCGGGTGCTGCGTCCGAGCCCTGCGACCCGCTCGAGCTCCACAACGAGGCGGCGGGCCCGCAGGCTCTGGCGATGGAGCCGGGCCCCTCGTCTCTGGTGGGTACCTCCTCGACCGCGCGGACCCCATCCCGGGACCTCGTGCATGGCGCTGCCTACTGTCGGCGCCCCCGGCCACACCCCTGCGGGGACCTGCCCTGCCGCATCCCCCTAGCAGCCCGGCCTCGCCGGCCCGCGCCCCAAAGCAGCACAGCTCGTGTGCCCGGGCGCTCGAGCGGCGAGGGAAGGGGAAGGACGCGCAGGGGACACGGTCGCGTTCCCCGCCTAAAGCCTCCTAGAGTGGAGCCCATGAGCGCGACAGGCGTGCTCGGCGGCCAACGCTGAGGGCCACGGGGTCCCCTCTGTCCCCACAGCTCTTTCCCGACGAAGTGCTGGCCCTGCTGGAGACCTGGATGCCCCTGGAGTGGCCGCCCGCCTGAGTCGTTGAAGCGACGACGCACCGCTGGCGCCCCGTCTGTGAGCGCCGAGGCTTTCTTGGCCTCAGCTTCGAAGTGGTCCCTCCCCAGACTCTCTGTCCGGGAGAGGGTCCCAGCGATCCTGCCATGGCCCTTCCTGCGAGTGACAGCCTGTGCCCGCCCCGGCCGGCCCTCTCAGCCCCTGTCGCGGTGGAGGAACCCCTGGGCTACAGGCTCGGAGGCGGACAGGACGCTCTGCCTAGTGTGTCTTTATTTATTTGTGAATAAACTTTGTGCTGGTGACAGTTGACAATTTCTTCTTCCTCTGGTGGACACAGTGCTCCCTCCCCCTCCTCCAAAGAACAGAGGAAAGTTGGGAGGGTTTCTTGCAATTTCAGCCCCCAAAGCAAGCAGCCTCAGACCCCTTCCTCCTTGTCCCCGACCCTGGCTTAGCATCTCCTCTTCCAGCTGGGTGGGCCTGGAAGCAGGAGGCGCTTCAGATGAGAATGTGGCAGCAAGTGGACTCTGTCCGTCTTTTCTTTGAACCTGGTGGGAAGCTGGGTAAAAGCACAGTATCTGTAGAAGATACCTTTCCACTAGCGGGTACTTACTGTGCCTCACGTCCTCTCCATATTTTATACCCGAATAACCATTGTACAGAAGAAGAAACCAAGAATCAGCACTCAGGCCCTGATAGGACTTCAGGACCCGAGCCCGCAGCCCTGGCAGGATTGTGCCAGCTTCGTTCATTCTGGCCTGGGGGACACCAGCCCCAAAGGCTGGTTTCCGGTGTCTGGCGTCCCTATTCCCCTAGCGCTGGAGCATCACGGCCTGGACCTGGGATTTTTCCATCTCCCTTCACTCTGGTTTCTCTCCCATGTGGCTTAGGGACATAGCATCACTCTAATGCAGCGTATGTATTAGACATCGCTCCTCATTATTCCACTCCCCACCCCTACCCCGGCCCACTAGTCCACTTTCTCTACAGCTTTGCTGGTTCTGGATGTTTCGTATGAGTGCAGTCATACAACATGAGGCCTTGGAGTCTGGCTTCTTTCACTTAGCATGACGTTCTCAGGGTTCATCCGCTCGTGTTGTCTCCTGTGTCTACTTCCTTTCTTTTATTGCCCAACAATATTCCCCTGCAGGGATGGGCCACAGTCGACGTGTTTACCCATGGATGTTGGTCGGCTTGTTGGGAAACCACCTGGGAGAGCATTTCCAGTGCTGGGCCCAGGCCAGGAGGGGAGCAGTTCAGAGAGGGGTGGGGGTCACTGCTGCGTCACTCAGGAGTCCAGGCCCACCCGGGCCAGCATTTGGCTGCAGAGGGTGGGATCCAAAAGCAGAGGCCTTGGGGGGAGGAGCGGGACCTCACAGCTTTGCTGATCACCCCCTGTCCTGCCTCTCCACCCCCATCTCCCCTCCCCTCCCAGGACTCTAACTGGAGCAGAGCAGGAAGTCTTTTCCAGGAGACTACCCAGTTCAGAAAGCCTATTTGCATGGCAAAGGCCCCCTGGTTTAGGATGGGGAATTAAAGTTATTAGCAAGTCTTTTCACAGAGAAGTGGGGCTCCTTGCCGGGCCCCTCCCCTGGGGAGGGCCTCTCCTGCCTGTCAGAGCTGGAGCCCTCCCCCGACTGTTGATTAGCACCTGGGTGTGAATTTTCATTAACACGTCCCTGCTAATAAGACAGGAGTGGAGATGGGAAGGGGCTGCCTCCCACCCCACCCCCTCCCCCCGCCCCTTCCTGGGCTAGCCCCACTGGCACCCAGAGCAGACCCTGGGTGCCCATTCAGGGAGACGGGACAGTAACCAGCGTCCAGGTAGGTGAGCCCTGGCATGTGTGCTCTCAGTTCCCAGCTGAGGGCGAGGTGGCCCCAGTCCTCGGGGCTTCAGGACGGGAAAGTTAAGCAAGAGGCTGAGGGGCAGATGCTCAGCCTTCACAGGCAGCTGTGGTTCCAGAGCCCCGGTGCCTCCCCGCTGTCCTGCCCTCCTGACAGCTCAGCCAGCCCGTCTGAAGGACGGAGGGTGCTGGTGGCACCTCACCTCACCTGGGGTGCTGGCGGGGTGCCCTGGGTCAGAGCAGCCTGGGTGCCCACCTGCTGGAAGGTGCAAGTGTGAGGGTGGCATCAGCCCAGGCCCCCCACCCCAGTAGCTAGCTGGTCCCGCCAGCGCTGGTCTCCACTGGCTGTCAGTGGCCCCCCCTTCCTGCGGAGCTGCTGTCACAGCCCGATGGGTGGAACGACGTGGCGGAGAAACAGACATATCTGGAGCAGCCACCGTGGGCCAGGCTGGGCTGAGGGCTGTAAATTCACCGTCTGCTGTCAGGTAGTCTTAGCCCCAAGCCCGGGAGCACTGGGCCGCTGTGTGCTCGTAGCTCTTTTATAGACCGGCACACTGAGGCACGGAAAAAGGACAAGGAATTTTTCACAGAGCTAGAATGTGGCTGTGAGCGTGGGGACAACAGTGGGTGCTAGTGAGAAATCCGGTCTTTGCAACAGCCCAGGCAGGCAAGTGAGCATTCGCATTGGAGGGAGTAAACTGAAGCTCCTAATCTGGTGCACGTCGGCCCCCAGTGTGGCTGCCAGCGGGGAACCTGCTCCTGCTACCGACCACGCCTGGTGCCCCCGCCGAGACAGCTGTCCTGTGTGGACGCTGATGCTGGAGGGGCCCATGTCTTAAGGAGGGGCAGCTAAGCTGATCATTCTATTCAAGACATGTATTCGAGGATGAGACACACGGGCCACAGCATGAACCCTGGGGCAGAGGAAGTGGGTGGCGGTCATGAGTCGTCTGTATTGCAGATGGCAGTTCTGGGAGGCGGGCTGGAGAGCTGGGCTGGGACTTGGGTGGGTTGTGCCCCTGGAGGAGGGCCCAGCCCGGTGTCCCTCTGGTCATGCATTGCTAAATAAACAGGTCCATCTGAGGGGTACATGGATGCCCCAGGATTCTGAAACACCCGCTACTGGGGCACTAGGGTGGCACAGGGCTGGGGCAGGAAGCCTGCCCCAACTGCAAAGCCCCTGCTTGTCTCACACCCCCAGCTGCCCATCCTGCACGGACACGACCCTGAGGGTAAATGGCTCCTAAATTCTGCACCTGCGCACTCGTCTGCCTCACCCTGGTCCCCACACTCCCCTGAGAAGTCCCAGGGTTCCTGGCTCTTCCAAGGGGCTGTATCACCCAGCGTCAAGGAGCTCTTCTGGGTTCCTGGGCACAGCCCACTCAGCCCTCCGTGGTCTTGACCTGCTCAGTACCCCTCCCACCATCCTCCCTCCCGGCCTGTCACTGTCATTTCTTCAGAGAGCACTCCCTCCTTAGTTTGGGGGTCCTGACCTCCATGGCCCTCCAGGGACGGGCACGTGCCACAGCTGCTGAAAATGGGCATGACGATAAGATCTGCGTTTCACAAGCTTACTCAGGGCCACGTGTGGAACAGAAGCACGGCAGAGGGCCGGAACTGTCAGCCCCTTGCATTCCAGTGGTGGAAGGCCGAGACCGTCATCCCGAGTCCTCCTCCCTCGTGGCAGGAGAGTTGCCACTGGGCCTGCTGTGTAGAGGGAAAGGATTACTCTCTGAGCTGTTTCTGCTGTGTTTTCGTTCCCATGGTGGGGAGGTCCAGGGGCAGAGTGTCGCAGGTGGGGACCCCTTCGTCCAGGGGACGTCAGCTAGTCAGCACCAGCGCCAAGAGGGAGGTGTCATGCCAACAAGGAGCAGGTGAGACCCAGGGGCGGAGGTGGATGGGGCCACGAAAGCAGCGGTGTCCCAAACCCTGCACACAGTGGGGGCTGGTGGGCAGGTTATGAGGGGAGGCTGGGACCTTAACCACCTGCAGTTTTCGAAGGCACCACACAGTGTCCTCAGAGAGGCAGCACAGGCCTCAGGCCCCAAGGGGCCCTCCACCCAGTTTTCTGGGAAGGGCAGTTTCTAGAGAAGAGAAAGTTGCCTCTCTGCCCTGCCGGTGCCCCCGGCCCCCAGCTTCCTCGAGGGTCCCAGGCCAGCAGGCGAGGGGCGTTAGTGGCACCATTCCTGCCTGCCACCTCACCTGGCCCTGCTCTGCCTCTCCCATCTGTGTGACCTCAGGTAGTCATTCAACCCCTCTGAGCCTCAGCTTCTCCAGGGTGATTTCATCGGGCGGTGAGCCAGCACAGAGGGAAAAGAAGTGGGGAGAGAAAGGGGGACCCTACAGTAGCGGGGAAGGGCCAGGCGTCTTGCTCATGGGAGCAAGGAGGCTTCCCTGGGTCTATAAGGTGAGTGGTCCCCCCAGGCCTGGGCCTCCTGTTGAGACCACTGCCTGGGCGCTGCTGGGGTCTGGCCCAGGTGGGAACGAAGGGTTACACACGCAGCAACTGCGGAGTCTGGAAACAACGCTGCCGTTTATTCGGGAGGCCATCTGCCCACCTGAGGACTTGACAAACCGCTGGCAGTTGAGGCCCCTAAATCGACCCTCCCCTTGCTGGCTCTGTGGAGGTCCGAGGCGCAAGGCTGGGCCCTGGGGTTCCTGAGCTCCTCGCTGTGTCCTGTTCTCTTGAACGCAGGGCGTCTGGGGTGAAGCCTGCTGCTGCCGCCCTGTCCCGAGAGCCGGGGTGGCCACCGTCACCTCTTGAGGTTCTCTCTTTGCAGGAGGACCGAATACCTCCGAAGCCGGGTCCAGTGATCCTGCTGCTTCTCCTTGCTCGTCTCCAGCTTCTGCAACCTGCGGGCCACACAGCTGGAGTGAGAGGAACCCGCCTGGGGCTGCGTCCCCCAACCCCAGGGCCCCAGGGCACACGGTGACCACCACGTGCTGATGTGAGAGACTCGGCACGCGACCCATTGCTTCCTGTTGTGTCCCCAGGCCTCAGCCTCAGGCGCAGCAGGCACTGGACACGCCTGCATGGAATGGACGGTGGGTCTGACATTCCAAACCAGGCAGCGACCATGACAGCAGGCACAGTGAATTTAAGAACTGACAGCCTGTGTGCAGGGACCAACGGTAAATGCAGCCGAACGCCAGCAATTCCATTCAATAAACATTTCTAGAGCATCTCCCAGAGACAGGCACTGGGTCAAGTGTCCGAAAGATCAAAGCGACTCAGACAGCCCCTCCCTCTCCCCAGTTTGGTCAGAGTGAAAGGACACTTGTAACAGGAGGCACTGAAGTCAGCAGAGGAGAAATGCAGCGAGGAGGAAGGGACCCACCCGCCTGGGAGGGTTCCTGAAGACAAGACCCTCGGAGCTGGGGCTCTCATAAACAAGAGGTTAGGGGGCCGGCCAGGCGGCACAGTGGTTAAGTTGCACTCTGCTTCGGTGGCCTGGGGTTTGCCAGTTCCAATCCCAGTGCCAACCTGTGCACCGCTCATTAAGCCATACAGTGACAGCGTCCCACATACAAACTAGAGGAAGGCTGGCATAGATGTTAGCTCAGGACCCATCTTCCTCACCAAAATCAATCAATCAATCAATGATTAAATAGGAAGTTATTTTTTTAATAGCAAATAAATGCATGTTCAATACAGAAAAGCCAGAGAGACCCGGGATTCAGCCCCTTCTGCCCCAGCGCAGGCGCCGTGAGGGGTGGAGGTGGAGGCGGAGGTGGAGCCGGTGCGGGCTGTCACGGGGCCTCTGCCATGGGAACCTGTGCGAGCGAGGAGGACAAACAGCGCAGGGTGCACAGAGGAGGGGCGACAGTGACCGCGGCTTTGCGTTTGTTGGAGGCTCTGCCTGTGGGACGTCTACATGGAGCTGTGTCTGCTACTCAAGGCATTAAAACGCTTTTTAACTCAAAATAGTCATCCTTACGTCGCTGTTTTTAAAAAAATCAAAGACTGCAAGTGGGTATGCGATTAAAAGCGAATCTCCTTCTCCCCTGAGACCCTTGTTTCCTGTTCCCAAAGTGACAATAATTAACAGCTCCTTGTAAGTCCTTGAAAATTGTTCACACACACAAGCATAGACGTGCAAATAATCTTTTTTTTATACTTAAATGAAAGTGTGTGACACGCTGTTGTGCACCCTGCATTTTTCCCTGACGATATACCCTCCATCCCGTCTGCGAGGCGCTCACAGACCCTCCTCGTCTTTCCTCTCTGTGCCACCAGGGCGGCCCTGCCCGTGGAGGCGGGGGATGCGGGGGCTGAGTGTGCCCAGGTCAGAGACTCCGGCTTCGGACCTGCACGGCTGTGTTCCAAACCAGCTCCGTCACTGTGAGTTGATGACTGTGAACGGGCGGTTTGACCGCTGTCCGCCTCCGCTTCCTCGCTGTACAGTGGGGACAATAACAACAGTAGGAATCGGACTATGCTCGCCAAGCACTGAGCACAGGCCCTGTTGCACAGTAGGCGCTCAGTCAGGCTGACTGTAGCGATTCCCCTGCGACTGCTGAGACAAGTGGAAGGGAAGCTGCGGGCTCGGGGGCAGAACAACCCCGAATCAGTGAGTGGCCATCCAGGGGCGGGTTTAAGAGATGGAATGAGGACAAGTTTTAAAAGGAAGACTGATAATAAAGCCATTAACGTATTCAAAGAAAATGTGGGTGATTTTTAAAATCTATGACTGGTGAGCAGAAGGGCTTCTCCGTGAGCGAGTAACGAGTACAGCTCACCCTGACGCGTGTGCAGGCGCTGTCCCGGGAGCAGAGCCGACGGTCCCCAGTTTACACGTGAGGACACTGAGGTCCGCCCACAGGGCCCCGTCTCCCCGGTCACAGCGCTGCGCTTTCACCAGAATCCGGGGCTCTTTGCCCCCAGACCGCAGCCAAGCCTGGGGAGGACGGAAAACTCGAGCCACAGGACAGGAAGCTTCCGTTTGGGCTAAACAAGTAGGAAAATTACTCCTATCCCAAGACACACCAGGAAAACCGGTCGCAACATGCTGACAAAGAACTCAAAGTCAGGAGAAAATGAACTCAACCACAGGAAAAGTCCCGGCAAATCACAGGAGGAGAGAGAAACGTACCACATACACAGCAAAAAGGTGCTCAGCCTCCTTAATTTCCAAATTAAAACACTAATGAGTCATCAATCTTTGTCCTCATTTCCTGGCCAGCATGGGGACGGGTGAGGACTCGAAGTGAGTCCACCGTCTCCGGAGGGCCGGTGGGCACCACTGTCGCCATTCCAATGTGCCTACTCATCACCCTGAAAGGCACCTCTAAGAATTACCCTGTGGCAATACTAGGGAAGACGCATAAAGCTGAGCATGTGAGGACGCTGGGCTGGGAAGGTGGGGGGTGACCCTGGTGGGCCTGCCGCGGTTTGGGGAGCTGACAGGAGAAGAGGACAGCAGAGGCGTGTGTTGACCGTGGCTCCCAGGAGCCGGGCTGTGGGCGGAGGAGAAAGAAGGCGGCTGCAGGACTGGGAAGGGACTTGCTTATTTTCTAACATGGGGACAAGGTGGGGACACACGCCCCTGATTAGGATGAGCCAGTGGAGGGGAGGAGGCCACCATCCAGATGGATGAGAAGGTCTTGGTGTCCTGGGGGAGGAGATGGCCTGGGACCCCAAATGTAGGAGGAAGAATTATCCTTGGGTACGACAGGGTGCCTCTTTCTCTGAATCAGGAGGCAGGCAGCACATAGGGGTCGGGGACCCGGGGGACCCAGGTGAGAGGGCAGCCAAGGGACTGGAGTGCTCCAGGAGGCAGGGTTACCCACCAGTGCCTGGGGCAGAGGTGTTGGGAGACGCCCGCCGTGTGGAGCAACAGGTGGAAGCTGGGAGGGCGCCCCGCGTGGCACCAGCATGTGGGAGTGCGGTTCCCATTGGCGATGCCCAGTGGTAGGAGGGAGTGGGGAGGACGCCTGGGTCTGAGAGACTGGACACCGACTGCCAGGAACCCCCTGGGCAAGGCCCCTGTGGCCTGAGACACTCTCCCTTGGCCACCAGCGAATACAGGTTTCCTTCCCATGATGGCGAAACAGATGACGACTGTTGGAAGCCAGGTACTGACAAGGTGCATGCGTACATCTTCCCAAAAGACGGGCTGTCCATCCACCAAGTGGGAGAGGAGCTGGAACACCTGCAAGTCCTTGCACAAGCCTTTGAATTCCAGTACCCCGACCGTATGCACCTCGGGGTCTATGAGTCTGTAACTCGTTTTCCAGGGATTTGTCCCTTTGTTTCTCAAGAAGGGAGAGGAAAGTCAGGACAGGCCCACCATTTCCATTCCAGGGACTGTAACAAACGGGTCAGAACACCGGCCCTCGCCCTCCTCCTCCAACCTTGAGGGAAATGTCACCTGGTGTCCACTTGGGGCCTGCCCACCCCCTCGCCAAGGGAGCCGTGTGCCCTGTGGACCCGGGACTGTGGGGTCATCCTAGAAGCCCACCTTCTGGAGGAAGCTGGGTAGACAGAACTGGATCTTGCCCGGCCTTGTGTTCCACGAGGAATAAAGTGGGACACACACACACACACACACACACACACACACTGTTTCTGTCTGCCTCCTGGTGTCCTGAAACTTCTGTCTTGCTGTGATCAAAAGTTTGACCCAGCAAGAGGCAGCAGACAGACAGGGAGCGGAGCCAGATGGAAATGGTGCCCTGGAGGCCCAGCTGGCTGGGAGCAGAGGCCAGGCCTGGGGCAGGGTGGGAGGACTAACTGGTGTCCTCTCAAAGCCCTGGGGTGGGCTCGGCTCCCGCTGGCTGTGGATAACAGTCCCCAGGACAGGTTTGGTGAAAATCATTTGGACAGAGTATCATAAGGCTGAACGTTTGAATCTATCGCCACGTGAGTCCACTGCCTTCAGGTTTCACCTCGTTTTAGGGCCAATGGAAACTGTTTCAGACCCAAGGAATAAATAGGAAAAAAAAACCAATGAGATTAAAATCTTTAGGACATATATGGACATGTGATAAACAACCACAGTACAATGTTAACGACAGAATCTGTGTTGTGGGTATGTGGGTGTTCACTGATGTATCTTTTTCAAAGCTGCTGTGCGTTTGAAAATTTTCATAATAAAACGCTGGGGGGTACTCCTTCGAAAGCCCCAGTGTCAGCCCTGAGAGCAAGGAGAAGAGGGAAAGCCTTCTTTACAGCTTTACAGCCTGTGTCATCACCGGGACCCTATCCGGAAAATGGGCTGCCACAAAGGGTATGATTCAAACCCTGTGATCAGGCCCAGAGAAACGTTCCTTCATTCCTTCTACCTGGGCCTGCCCCAGCCACACCATGTGACCACTCCCAGCTCCTGCTGGGTCTCCAGACCCAGGGAGCACTTCCCGGAGCTTTTCTGTTCCCCAAGCTCCCGTGGCTCGTTCAGCCCCAAGCACTGCCCCAGCCCGCGGTGCCCCACCTGGTCAGCCCTGCTGGCTCCGGCCCTCTTCCCTGCAGAAGGTTCCCTGGGGGACAGTGCTCTCCAGCGCACCCAGCCACTGTGGGCCTCCTGGGCAGGGGCTGGGCTGTGGGCCCTGGGAGCTAAGCTGTGTGGACAGGGAGGACAGACAGTTGCCAAGGGGGAGGGGGAAGAGTCCCTCCCACTCCCATGGGGCCAGGACGGGCCTCTGGGGTTCCAGAGAGTGGAGGAGGTCAGGGCAGAAGGGGCAGTCTTCTCTTACTAGAGCAGGCCCAACCGCCAGGGAGCAGGGAAGTGACTTACGGACACCCTGTCCATAGGAGCAGCATCTGCATTAAACATCACATTTATAAGGAAGTTTTCTTCAAATTAAAAGTCAGTAATTTATATTCTGGAGTGACATGAAGCCAGATTAAAAAGTGAACATGAGGCACTGGTCAGTCGCATAGTGGTTAAGTTCGCACATTCCACTTCGATGGCAACCTGGGGTTCGGATCCCGGGCACAGACCTATGCATTGCTTATCAAGCCACACTGTGGCAGGCATCCTGCATATAAAATAGAGGAGGATGGGCACGGATGTTAGCCCAGGGCCAATCTTCCTCAGCGCAAAAGGGGAGGATTGGTGGTGGATGTTAGCTCAGGGCTAATTTTCCTCACTAAAAAAAAAAAAAAGAAAGAAAAGCGAACATGAAACATGATCTCAACTTAGTAAAAACACCAAGGAAAAAACCTGAAGGAAAGGCACCAACATATTAATAGTGGCACTGGGACTTCTGGTGCTGGATTATGGGTTATTTAAATTTCTCTTTTGTATTGTCCTGTTTTCCAAATGTCTACAAGTGCAGATACTCCACCTCAGGAACAAGGAGTAATACTTTCTACAGCGCGCAATTACTCTGCTGTACTAGTCGTTCTGCACGTGCAGCAAGTTTCACGGGCCAAGCAGGGTCAGTGGGGGTCTGAGTACGAGCCCCTATGTGCAGCTGGCTGAGGGTGGGAAGTGTTGGTTAGGGACGGAGGCATCTGGAGCTGCTCAGGCCCTCTGCCAGGCGGGAGGTGAGCTGCCCAGAGCTGGGGCTGCTGGCCCGGGGCCCACTCCCTTGGGTAGGGGAGCCAGCAGCTTTTGGATAAAGTAGGAAGGAGGCTCCCCCTCTGCAAGCCAGTGAAAGCAGGGGGTTAGACAGAAAGGACAGAAATGGAAACACGCGCATTAAGCAAGGAGTTCTCTGGGCCTCCTCAAGCAAGAGCACCAGGAAGCTCCAGGCCAGGCCCGCCACCTTCGGAGAACGGCCTCATGCAGCCGTGACCTAACCTCAGACTCTCAACTTTTTGCTTAAGTAGTATTTTAAATTTTCCAAAATTATGTGTACTTTTTGTAGAAAAGTTGCAAATAGGGAAAATACAAAGGAAAAAATATCACACATACTTCATCACCCAAATATAGCTACTATTGGTGTACACATTTCCAGCCTTCTCTCTTTTGTTCAAAATCAGGATTATAGTGTAAATAATATTTCATAACCTCTCCCTATCTTTTATTCAGAAAAATTTCAAACCTACAGAAAAGTTGCAATAGTGCAATGAACCATCACTATATTCACCAGTTGTTAACGTCTCACCACCGTCTCTCTCTGGCTCTCTCTATAAATGTTTTCCTGGACCACTTGAGAGGAAGCTGTGGACATCACAACACTTCACCCTTAGACTCTTCGCTGCGTCTCCTAAGATCAAGTCAAGTCACCAAGGGTCACACGCTCCCTGGGAGGAACAGCCGAGCATTCCTGGTAAATCCCTGTCTGGGGAAAAGTCAACTGACCCTCTCCACTGTCCTCCCCCAGACCGAGCGGCCACACTCCTCTCCCGGCGAATGGGCGTGCTTCCCTCCGGAGACACTGAGCGCCACCAGGCGCCCCCACGGCCCAGGAAGGAGCCAAATGTAGCAGGGAAGTGCAGTCGTGAAGGAGGAGCTGTGGGGCCTCCTCGCAGGGATGTTTAGAATCTTCCCAGGCAGAATAGGGACTGAGCGGAGGGACCATCCCCTCGTCTTCTTGGACCCACCAGTTAGGAGCGAGCGCCTTGCGCCTAGCACTTCGCAGCATCTCACTGAACACCTGCTGAACCTGGAGACCGGGCGCCACGGCAACGTCCACCACACAGTCCAGCGCATTGCGGGTCCTCAATAAATGAGGAACTGAGGCTCTGAGAGGTCAGGGAACTACCCCCAGGTATCCCAGTTAGTCAGTGGTGGAGTCAGGAGCCAAACCCAAGTGTCTGAACCATTCTACTGCGTTCGCCTTAAGGAAAGGGTAAAAGAGGAAAGGAGAGGTGGTCGGGAACAACACTGTGGACACTGGAGAGGTCACAGAATCCAGGGCACCACTGGTGACCCCCTTCCAACTAAAACGTCTGGTCAGATCACGGCAGAAATCACCAAGAACCTGCAAACGACCATTCGTTTGTTGCGGACGGATTCGAGGAGACACCTGCTTCCCCAAAGGGACTGAGCACAGGTCATCAGGCTTTTCTAGCAGAAAGGAGCACCAGTAGGTCCTGGCAGGACAGGGGCAGCAGGAAGGGGAGGGGAAGGGAAGGGGAGAAACGCATCGCACAGCCGTTATCCAGACAACGGGTCAGGGAAAGGGGCCTCAGAACAGGGTGGGCCAACGTCTCCCAGAAAGGACCAGCAAGGAGAGGCTTCAGGCTTTCTGGGCTTAGCCCCGCTGCCGTGGCACACAAGCCACCACAGGCAAGACATAACAAATGGTGCGACGGCTCCCAGGAAACTGCCCTTTAGCAAAGTGGCCATGGGCCCAATCTGCCCTCAAGCCATAGTTTGCCAACCCCCGTCTTAGAAGACTGCATCTAGTAACCTGAATATGCTTTAAAAAAAAAAAGAATCGAGCAAGCAGAAAGGAAAGAGGGTCTCGACAGGAAGAGAACAGCAGGGGCAGCCCTTCTTTTCCGCCAGCCGGTATTCATTGCTCCTCCCCAGCACCAGCTGGAAGCAGAGGGCGGCTCCTGGGCTCTGACCGGGGCACCCTTCACAGGAGGGAGTGTAAATGGCCAGAGGGTCTCACCGTCAAACAGCCCCCACAGCGCCTTCCCCAGAGATTGGGGCGCCTTCCCCAGAGACTGGCCAGGGTGCGCGCAGAGCTAGAACCCTACCTTTTCTGGAGGAAACTCTCGCACCTCTTCTCCAAGGGCAGCTCATGGGGGAAGCCCATGTTAGCTGTCAGGGCAGACTGAGGAATGCTGCAATTTCTTGAGATGTTTTCCAGGAGTGGGTAGGCCTCAAAATTAAAATAGAACAGAGAATTTTGGATGTTCTTGGCATCGTCGGTGGATTTAATTTCATCGGGATGGTCTCCTGAGATGAAACAAGAACACCATGTTCTCTATGAGGACTTGCTCCCTGGTCTCTCTGATCTGGGTGTGTGGGTGGGTGGGCGCTGCTCTCGGCTTGTAAAGGCTGGGTCCTCGGGGCTGGGCTGGGAGGGGCTCACTTGATCTGCAGGAGCAGGAGCCCAGAGAGAAGACCTTGCCTGGCGTTTTATCTAAGTGCCTACTGAGGACTAAGTGGCATATCCTTTTGGCCTCTGGCGGAGGGGATGCGGAGTGGGGAGTTGTTTGGCTGGGGTCACCCTCCGCTTGGTGAAAGGCCTGAGACAGTCAGGGAAACGGCCAGCAGGCCGCAGGGCTGGGCAGTGGCCCTCCTGGTCCCCTCCCATACCTCGGAGTAGGAAACACGGGTGGTGGAAAGACACAACAAACATTGGCTTCCACGGGACCGCCAGATGGTAGGGTCTCGGGGGAGCAAAGGCACAGATGATGTGAGGCTTGGCAACATCCATGAGGTGCACATGGCCATCTCTGGAAAAGATCAGCACCTGGGAGGCAAAGAGATGGCGAGTGAGGCCTCCTCTACTCTGCTCTCACCCCAGTATGGAAGAAGAGAAGCAGCTGGACACAGAAAATGGAAACAGAAGATGTACTTGCTCTTGGGCGCCCAGCCTCTGGACGCACCGGGGCTGCTCCGGGCCGGCAGGAAGGGCTGTGTTTGCCCCTTTGGGCTACCAGCAACCTGGCCCTCCTCCAGGCGCCAGGCCTCATTCTGGGCTGTCCGCACCCTCTTGTGTCCTGGCTTCTCTTTCCAGTTCCCCCAGGATCTCCGCTGAAGAGCTGGCCCTCCACGTGGCCGGGATTCAGTCCCGCATCTGGGCAGATACCCTTTCCTCCCACCTCCTCAGGGACCCTGCTCAACCCCGAGATCTGGGATGCGGCCTCTCTCCTGGGGCTCTTTCCTCTCTGTAGACGAACACGCTAAACTCGCCCCAATCTCTAAAACCCTTCTTGACCCTACGTCCTCCTCCAGATGCCACACCACCTTCCCTCCCTCACACAGATGTCCCAGAGTCTCTCCTTCACCCTCTCTACTCCTCCACCGCCCCTGCTTGCCCTCTGCCCCCCACCACGGACACTGGGCTGCACGAGTACTTGGTTCTCTTTATCAAGGACACTGTGCTCCTGCCTTCTTCAAACTCTCCTCCCTGAGCTTGCAGGAGCCCCGCCTGGTTTTCCTGGGGTGTCCCTCTCAGTCACTTCATGAGCTCATTTTGCGTGTCCTGTAACTGCTGGTCGTACCCCCAGGGAACCTCTTTTCTACTCACCTACTCTCTCTGACCAGGGGAACCCGCTGGTCCCCACAGCTTTAACCACCACTAACCAGCTGGTAAGCACTTTCAGCCCCAGGCTCTCTCAGAGCCTCCTCCAGGGTCCTGTGGGCCCCGCACCTGCAGCACGGGAGGAACCACAGACCTTCCCTCCGGGCCTCTCTTCCCTTCCACGGGCCCTGTAAGGATTAGCCAATCGGCTCCACAAGCCAGGACCAGCCTTGGTGCCTCCCTCTCCTCTGACCACAGCCACAGGCAGCCCAGAACCGTGGAGTCCATCCCCACTGCACCTCTCCACTCTCCACCCCTCTCTGAATATGCTGCTCTCCTGCGCCAGCTCCCCTCGAGGCTTCATGCCCATCCTTACAAGGGCTTGTCCGCAGCCTCCATGGCCTGGCCCCTCTGCCCGCACACCCAGCCTCCTCCCCCTCCACACCCCACAGGGACCTGAGCCTGCAGCGACTCGACCTTCCTGCAGAGTGCAGGACACAGCGTTCTCTTGCCTCCGGGGTGCCGCCTGCTTAGCTCCTGTGGCTCAGCTCAGCTGATCCATCATCTCCTGCAGAAAGCAGCCCCCGCCCTCCAACTTCCACAGGTTGAGTCAGGCGGCCCCTCTCTGTTCTGTAGCATCCATCGCATGATGGACCAGGGCCTCTCTCATGTTCTAGGGCAGCTGCTGCTGACGCGTCTGTCTTCCCAGCTGAACCATGAACTGCAGGAGGGCAGGCACTGTCTCTGTCTGTCTGTGCACCCCAAGGCCAGTCTAGTGCCAAGAACTTGATAGGCCTTCAACAAATATTTTTTGAAGGAGAAACAAACACATTCACTGAAGAGGAATGAGGGGCACGAAGAACTTACCATCCCAGGTAAGGCTGGGACTGGGGCCACTGCACAGACGGCTTCATCCAGGTGGTTTACAGGCCTACAGGAAACAAGACACACACGTTCACACTTGAAGAGTTTTAAAGTTTTTCTGTCCTCTCCGAGGCCTATGTCCTGGAGAAACTCTTGTATATAAGCATCAGGAGATGTGTCAGAGACAGTTCATAGTAGCAAAAACAAGGAACAATCTAAATATCCTTTGGTAGGAGAATGATTAAGTAATTGTGGTATATTACAGAATGGAATACAACACAGCAATGAAAAGAAAAGAACTGGAGATACATACACCAACATGTGCAGTCTCATGAACAATGTTGCAAAGCAAGTTACAGAATAAATGGGATGGAAAACAAGTCGCAGAATACACAGAATATGATCCCATTTACAAGTCCTGTAAATACACACAGCTAAACCATATATCGCTTGGAGATGCAGTCATATAGATGTGGTTAATTCTTAAAGGAAATCAAAGGAATCATGGGAGGAAAACGATGTGATAGATTGAAAAAAAAAAAGGTCATAATACTTGGCAGCAACTCCCATGAAAAGACAGAATCTACTTTTCCACTGCTTGAGTGCAGGTGTGGCCCTGTCACCTGCTTTGTCCCATGTAACACGGAGCAGAGGCTTGGAAAGCATGGGGGCACTGTGTCTGCCCTTGCTTGCTGCTGGAGACCCTGAGGCTACGGTGATGAAGGCTGAGACAGCCTGCAGGAGAGGCCACGGGAGAACCAAGTGCCCTGGCCAACGGCCTGCCCACTGCCAGGTACATGAGCGAGGCCATCTTAGACCCTGAGCCCCTAGCCACGCTGCCAGCCGCTCGCAGGCACATGTGAGAGCCTAAGCAAGACCAATGGAAGAACTGCCCAACCAAGCCCAGCCCAAAATGCTGACCTACAGCATCAGGGGCAAAACAATGCCTGTTCCCTTAAGCCATTAGGTCATGGGGTGGTTTGTTATATACAGCAATAGATAATTAAGAAGGTGGGGAGGAGAGAGGAGGATGTGATCAGGGAGAAGCTCACAGAAAGCCAAACTGAATCGGAGATGACCTATTTCTTAAGCTTGGTGGTGGGTCCGGGGAGTTTATGTCTGCCTGTCTGTCTCTCTATACATACTAAATATACACAGACACACACACACACACACACACATATTGTATGGATCATTTTCATGCATAAAATATTTCACAATTGAAAAAAGAAAGAGAATGAGAGAGAGAAAGAGAGAGAGAGAGACCCTTGGGGAAACTGATAACAGGCTATTTTGGCAGAAAAATGACCCTCTTCTTGATATGGAATATGAAAGATGTTATTTGTGCCATCATGAAATTTTGTCAGAAATATTTTATACATAAGCTCACATATAAAAGACACTGGTGACCCTGAAACGCTCATCAGGAGAGCGATGACTACAGGGAAAGTGGGCTTGGCTTGGAGAGGGTGTCAGCCTTTTACTACCCAACAGCCTCATCGGGCTGGCAGATCACTCACCCCATCTTGTCCTGGAGCCACTGACCTCTCAACGAGCACACTGATGGTGGGTGCCTCAGAACCCTGGGCAGCCACCAGGTGGAGAGAAGCATCTGTGCACAGCACCACGCATTTCATTTGGGACTTCACTGGGCCCTCAGGGAACACGTTCCGTCCTTCATGGACTAAGAAGTATTTTAGGAAGTGAATGCTCTGGCAGATACATCCCTCAGGAAGAGCGACAACCCCGAGAGGGAATCCTGGAGGAAGCAATCGCACAAGCAGGTCAGAGAAGCGGGTGGAGGGAGGCAGTCATGGGCGCAGGGTCTGGGACCAGCGAGGATGTGAGGGCTGTGAGGGCAAACCAAGCAAGGGGCACCCTCTGAGAGTGAAGCCAGTAACCCCAAGGCCCAAAGGAGAGAAGAGCCCCCTTCAGGAGGACCCTTTCTGAGCACGGAGAGGAGCAGGGGAGGGGGCAGAGTCAGCACTGGAATGGAAGGAAGGAAGCTAAAAGCCAGCCAGGTGCTGAACCGCACTGACCACGCCACACCACGTCAAGGTGAATCAATCAGAGGGGAGCGGTGTTGGAAAAGGGGAGGGCGGGGGTGTGGCCAATCAGCAAGAAATCCCCAATATCCAGAAAAACGAAAACAAGCTATTGGGCAAGGGCTTGTGAAATTACAATCATTCTTCTGCCCTTGAAATATCTTTCGCTAATATCATAATGCTGTGGGCGCAATAAATAAATTCGGGAGGGCCTTTCATGATGTTTATCTTAGCACCGTGTGGGGAGAATGTCTCCCTATTTGAAACAACTGCTGAATTCTCCAGGTGGAAACAGCCCGAGTGAGGAAGGCCCTTCGCTGAGTGACAGAAGCCTCCCGAGAAAAGCCGGCTCAGCCGTCCACTCACCATCTCTCCAACAAACAGGCGCCATCAGTGGCTCTCCTCACCAACCTGAGCTGGGGGGCTGCCCAGGGAGGACGGCCCACCTCCACTCTCAAATGACACACATACCCGACTGTAAAATGACAAGCCACTGATGCATTCCTCGCTTCTTGAAAAGTGTGGTTAGAGGGAGACACTCCCCTATTTAGGGTAAAGAAATACCATGGATTTTCTGGCCTACAAAGCTGCACCCGGGACCCTGGAACCCCATCAAGGCACCACCCACCCAGAACAGCTGCTAGTCTCGCACTGACTGTGTTATAGGTCTCTTAGCTTCAATACCAGTGAGGTTCCTGCTGAGCGGGGCGCGGGTGGAGCAGCAGGAAGGCAGGCTTGCTTATTTCGAGAGCTTGGGGCTGGGGGAGGAGGGCTGAGGCCGTCAAGACGTCACTTTCTGTGCAGGAAGACACTTCCTCACTGGAGTGTGATAACGGAGTAATGGTCGTACTTCCAGGACCCGGTACAGTGCCGGCACAGTGCAAGTACTCAACACATACAGGGGGAATGGGAAGTGTCAGCACATACCATGTTCAATAAATGTTCACTGAGTGAATGAATGAGGGCAAAGCAGGACCAGCTCCCCAACGGGATTCTAAGAACACAGAGTGACTAACAGAAGGCCCAGAGCTGGCAGGAATTCCAGAGCTCCAGGAGTCTCATTACTCAGACCCCACGCAGGTGCTGGCAGACGTGGGGGGCTCACCTTCGGCCAAGTCCCAGAGCGTGAGCACGCCATCCTCGCAGGCCAGCACCAGGTAGGAGGAGGAGCAGCTGAGCTGAGAGACTGCAATGGGCGCAGCGCAGGGCCACACGCCCTCGGGGTCTAGTGGGGAGGGCACCACTCACCGGGCTGCCCCCAGACCCCACTCCCACCCATCACCTGGACAACCTGAGACCCGGACTAGTCTGCCTGTCTGCCTCCCCATCTCTCTCCTCTCTAGGCAGTGCTTCTCCTTCCTCAGATAATACAATGACAAGTCACACGAGCATTACACTGCAGCTAACACTAAGGAGGCCCTGCTGGTGCTGAGCACCACAGGGAGCACTCACATGCATCATTTCATTTAATTCTCACAAGGATCCTATGAGTTGGGTCCCCTCAGTCCCCTGCTCTGCAGAGGAGGAGGGTGAGGCAGGGCAGCGAGTGGTCCGCCCAAGTCACAGAGGCAGTCGGTACACGAGTTGAGGTTGGAAGCCGGGCTGCCTCGGAGAGGGAAGAAGGCAAAGACATTCTCCCTTTGTGAATGTCTAAATGCTACTTTTGAAGGATAATTCTAAAATACAACCTAAGTGCATAGCTCAAGAGATTATCACAAAGCGAACTTGCTCGTGGACCTGCCTCCGTGGATTTGTAAAAGACAAACCAACAACACCCCTTCCCCACCATTTCCTAAGAGCCTCTCCATTTCAAAGAGCTTGCATGCGCAGACCGCTGGATTCTGCTATTCACAAGAAGCGCACGCAGTAGACAGGGATGGGGCAGTTAAGTAGCCCTACGCTTCAGAGAAAGCGGGATCAGGGTGTAAAGTAACTGGCCTGAGGCCGCACAGTTTGCAGACAGTGCGGCTGGGACTGGACGTGGCCATCAGACGCCAAGCCCACCCTCTTTTTACTCAGCTGCCTAACAAGCCCTGTGGACCTGACTGGGCTTTGTCCCCACTGACCTGTCATCTTTAAGAAAACAGTTCAGAGACAGAGCCTTGGGGACACACCACAGCCACCAAGCCACCCACTTCTGCCTGCACAGCCCTGGTCCCCTAAAGTGATGCTGATGGGCAGTCGCGTGCTCTCAGCTAAGCTGAAGAAGGACAGCTCTCAGAGCCCCAAGCTCAGGCAACACCCGTCTCAGCAGTAAAGTACCAAGTTTATCCTTCAGAGTTCGGTTGAGCAAATAGAGGAAGAAGTTGTGACTTCCAGTCCAATGTACGCCAAGGACATAGGCCACCCCTGGGAAAGAAGAGAGGAGAGGGGTGTCACGTAAGGAGTCAGGGTGGCCCTTGGTTTGTGTGGAAGGTGTATGTCCAAGGGGAAGTTGGTTTGAAATCAAAAGTGGTTTGTTCTCAAGGGCGGCACCCAATAGAAGGGTGAGCTTCTCGGGGAGGAGGGGCTGGGCACCTCCAGGAGGGCTGTCCTAGGGCCAAGTGGCCTTCCTGGGCAGGGAGGACGGCCACAACTGCCCCTTGGCTGCTTTCACATCTTCTAGATAATTCACATCTGCTTGGCTGTCAGGGTTTTAAAGAATGTTTTCTACAAAATGGGTTTATCTCCAGAAGCAGCCTGGCGGATGTGTGCTCACACCCTCCTCCATGATAGATCGCTCCCTGAAGACAGCGCAGCCTCCATCCTCAGGGAAGCTGGCCCCGGGGGCCACAGGTCCAAACAGAAACTGTTATGCTACGGCTGGCAACCGCCTTTCTACCTTATTCCCTCCCGCCATCAGGGTCTGCTCTAGGAGGGCTTGCTGAGGCCTTCCCCCAAGATGACCACTCCCCCAGGTCAGGCTGGGTTCACTTACCTGAGGGGCTCTTGACGTCCACTGGCGTTGCAGTTATGCAGCCAGGAGGGAGGAAATGGAAGGTGGCCATACTGGGAAAGAGAGAGACGCTAGTCAGAACCATGGCAGACTCCTTGGCAAGGAGAGATGCGGCAGAATCTGGGTACTGAGACCAGAAACGGGGAGTTAGAATGGACCTTCCCAGGGGTACAGGGCCATGAGGCAAGTCACATTCTATGTGCTAGTCCTGGTGGGTGCAGACCTGGGAGGTTGGTGAGGGCAAGGCGGGCAGAGTCCCTCCCAGGCTGGAAACAGCACCCAGCACTAGGCAGAGCCATCTCTGTCCTTGGGGAATGTCCTTTAATGACCAGACCTGAGCGATGTGCAAACGCTCTCTTATTTTGGAGGCAATACAACCAGTGGTGTGCTGATAAACTGGCTCTCTTAAAAAAAAAAATACAAAAAACCTCTGATTTCCTGATTTACAGGGTTTGTAGCTTTTTGTGGTATAAATACTCCCACTGTGGACAATCTTCAGTGGCTTAACAAGTGGCCTGTGACATTCCCAAATTCCTCGCTGGTGGTCAGCACTGAACCTCGCCAGCTTCCATCCAGCTCCTGACTCAGGGAGCTGCTTTGGGGCTTAGCCCTGGGACTCTGTGTCCTGCAGTGAGAAACTCCCAGGTCCGCTTGACAGCAGGATGAGAAGTTTCGCTTCCCGTGTGAAGCAAGAACCTTGCTGAGACCCTAAGCGGCTGTGAGAGCTGGTTCCTAAAGCCTGCTCCACCAGCTACAGCTACTTCACTGCAACGTGGGCTAATGGGGCCTACCTGCTGGCTGAGATTAGAAAGCAATGTATTTTAATAGTTATACATTAATATATTACATTAAGAAAGACTGGGTGGAAATGGAGAAAAATGGAGAATAATGATGACGTTTATTTCCATCTTTAGGATCTTCTGTGTTGTCTAGAAAATCAGGAAAAAAATTTTTAAGAGATGATATCATACATCAAATTGTAAAATAAACGATTTCTCATCTCCATAGATTATCTATTCCTTCTTTGAAATCCATGTCATCAGCCTTTGTTCTAACAAGATTTAAACAACCTGCATACAACTTTTCAAAAGATCTGGGGAAGTTCTCAGAAAAACCCCCCAAACCAGAAAGAGCTTTCGGACCTCAGGTTAACTCAGGTCTGCGGGTTGATTCCTGCGGGCGCCCAGGGCGAAACAGCTCTGGGGACTCCATGGCTCCGGGGGGACAGGGGCTTCCGGCTGGGCCTCCTCCCACTCACCTAAGTGGCTCCTCCTCCCACTCCCCATCCAGGTACTTCTTGTAGGAGGCATTGAAGACTGCCGCCTGCTGCTCCCACTGACTCTCCCTGATGAAGTGATTCTGTCCGGAGCCCAGCCCGTAGCAGTCCTCGATCTTCGCAAAGACTTCCAGGGGGCTTTTAAATGTGGTACCTAGGTTGAAGACATTCCCGAATTGGTCAGACTACCTGATTTCTCCCTCTTGATCTTCCCTTCCTTCCTCCATACTTCTCAGTTGCCAGCAGAATCCCTCATCCTCAGAAATCGGCTCTCACTCTGCAATCCATCTGCGGCCCGGGTGCTCAGTCTTCTCTGCGGCCCCTCTCCTATAGCCCACAGGCTCAGGGAGCACAGGCAAGGCAGAGAGCAGCGCTCTCCCTCCTCCTACTTCTGCACATCCATCCCACCGTCATTCCCTGTTTCCGGATTACAGAATCTCCAAAGAAGGCCAAGGAAATGTTCACAATGTCACTAGAAACCTTAGATCACTGTTGCTGTCTCCCCAGCTCAGCAAAGTCCTTAAACCTGCCAGTTACGGTCACTTTTCAGCGGCTGCTGAAGAGTCACACAATTAGACAATCCCAGTCTCCACCTATTTACTTACTTATTTATTTATTTGGCGAGGAAAATTGCTGCTAACATCTGTACAATCTTCCTCTATTTCGTATGTGGGATGCTGCCACAGCATGGCTTGATGAGTGGTGTGTAGGTCCACACCCGGGATCCGAACCCATGAACCCCCGGCCGCTGAAGGGGAGTGTGCAAACTTAACCACTACACCACCAGTTTGGCCTCGTCTGTTTACATTTATCTAACTACTTTCCTTTAAAAAAAATCTCCTTTCTCTGCCAATCACTTTTCTTATCACTCCCCTCCCCAGGAACCTTTCATTTCCTCCTTTTTCATCTGTTCCTAAAGCCACAGTAAAACTGGGTGATTTATTTTATGGGTTCACACCCAACTTTCAGAACTCTGCTCTCCAGGAGGTCCCACAGTGCCTCAGGTCCCCTTCCCCAGAGGCAACCACCGTTATGTTTTCTGCATAACTTTCTAGAAGGAGATCCCTTTTCCATAAACAAATGGCAGCATATTAGATAGTAGGAGTTCTCAAAGTGTGGTCCCAGATCATCGGGGATCTGACGCGGCCAGCTGGCAACTTGTTAGAAACACAGATTCCCAGGCCCCACCCCAGACTCACTGAAACAGAAATGGGGTGGGTGGGGCCCAGCAATCTGGGTTTTAATGAGTTCTCCAAGTGAGTCTGACCCAGCTAAAGTCTGAGCATTGCTGTGCAAACTAGACCCTTTGTATTTTCACTTAATGAAATATCTTGGAGATCTTTTCATATCAGTACTATAGATCTCTCCCATTGTTTGATGCTTATTTTCATTTATTAAACCTTTTTCCTACTGTGAAATATAACACAATCAGAAAAGAACATAAAAATATATCTTAATAAATTATTATAAAGCAAACATCTGTCTCTACTCAGGTCAGGAAACAGAGCATGGCCTGCTCCCTAGGAGCTTCCCCAGGGCCCCTCTCTAGTCACAACCCCCCGGGAAGAGCAGCACCCATTCTCTTGGCTTTTCAGTAACCACTTCATTACATTTATTTTACTTTCGCTATCTAAATATGCATCTAAACAGCGTAGCTTTGTTTTGCCTGATTTTGAGCTTTACCCCAATGGCATTATTCAGTATTAACTCTATGTCTGCCCTCCTTTGCTTAATATTGTTTATGAGATTTATCTGTTTTGTTGTGCACAGCTGTAGTCCGTTCCTTTCCATTGCTGTATAGGATTGCACTGAGTGAGTATACTGTAATTTACTTACCTGTTCTATTGCTGAGGGACACTTTGGTGGTTTCATGTTTGGGGCCATTGGAAATCATGTCGCTGTTACCATTCTTGTACATGTTGCCTGGTATGCATTTACTTGCAAACCTATACCTAGAAGTAGGTTGACCACCTCATCCTGGTTTGCTCTGGAGTTTCCTAGTTGTAACACTGAAAGCCCCACATCCCAGGAAACCCCTCAGTCCCAGGCAAACTGGTTCAGTTGGTGACCCTATCTAGGAGAATAACTGCTGGGTCACAGGATGCAAATTACCTTCAACATTGCTAGATAAGACCAAACTGTTTTCCAAAGAGGCCATGCCAGTTTTCACTGCTGACTGCCATGGAGGGGAAGTCTGATTATGCCACATCCTCACCAACTCTGAATGTCAGTCTCTCTTCATTTCAGCCATCCTAGTGGGTGTGAAGTGGGATCTCATTATGGTTTTAATTTGCATTTTTCTGATAACTAACGATGTTGAGCACCTTTTCAAATGTTTTTTGTCCATTTGAATAATCCCTTGCCTGTTTTACACTAGATCATCTTTTTCTTAATAATTTGCAGGAATTCTTTATATCTTCTGGACACGGACTACTCATAAGTTTTACATATTTTGTGAATATCTTCTCTCACTATGTGGCTTGCTCTTTCACGCTCTTAATGATGTCTTCGGCTGATTAGAAGTCCTTAATTTTAACGTAGTCAAATTCATCAAATTTTTCTTTTACTGTAAGTACTTTCTGTGTTTTGTTTAAAAAGTCTTTCCCTACCCACAGGTCATTCATACAGATACTGTCTATTATTTTCTAAAAGCTTTATTGTTTTGTCCTTCATATTGACTTTATGATCCATCTGGGATTTATCATTGTGGATGGTGTGGGGCAGGGGCAAGTTTCACTTTTGTTTCCATGTGGACAACCAGCACCTCTCACTGAAATGACTGTCCTTTCCCCACTGCTCTGTAGTGCCACCTCTGTTAGGTAGCAAGTGTCCATTTATGCCCATGTCCGCTCCGGCCTCTCTATCCTGTTTCATTCGTCTATTTCTCTATTTACTATATTCTATCTACTATTTCTATATTTTATACATATTTCTATTTATCTATTATTCACGCATTTATTTTTCTATCTTAATTACTACAGCTTTATAATAATCTTGATGGAGCAAACCGTATCATCGTGTTCTTGATGTTCACACGAGTGAATTGGCTGTTCTTGGCCATTTGCGTTTCCCTCTTTGTCTTTAATGGCTGCAAAGTATTCCTTTGCACGAGGGCCCCAGATTTTACCTAACCAGTCTTCTGCCTCTGTAAATAAGGCTGCAGCGAACATTCTTGTAGACACATCTTTACGGCTACGTGTGAGCACTGAGAGGATACATTCTATACCCTCTGCCTACAGTAGACTTCCCTTCTGCTCCTCTTCATCAACTCCTACTTATTCTTCAAAACCTCCCCAAACGTCCCTTCTTCTGTCTACTCCCTGGGCAGTCAGTTGCTCCTTCTTCTATGTTTCCACATTGTCCCCACTGCTGCACCTGTCACCTCCTCCTACAGTGGTTTCCTTCCATTCTCCCTTGGCAGACCTGCAGCTTTCAGAGCATGGGAGATGTGTCTTACTCAGCTTTGTGCTTGGTGCATTACTGGCACTCAAGAAACACTGATGAGTGAACTAACACAGGAACATAGGAATGAATGAACCCCAACTAGCACTCAGGAAAGGTGTTTCTCTTTCCTGATCTCCCAGTTCTGTTAGTTAATTGCATCCTTGTAACATTTATATTTTTTGTCTTTAGGTCCCAGAGCTTATGACTTAAAAAAAAAATTTCCTCTTCAAAACTATACGTGTAAATTAGATATTGCAGCTAATGAACAGAAAAGATAGGGAATGTGGAGGAAGGCAAAGACGGGAAAAACTGAGAAATCAATGGCAAAAGGAAAGAGAGCACTAGTTGAGTCATACTGACCTGTGACTGGTTTGGGTGGTTTGATCTTCATTATGTGAACTGGAAGACTCAGCTTAACATCTCCTCTAAAAGAAATATCCTAGAACAAGGAAAAGGCACAGCTAATGCACCAACAAAGGGGATAAAACGGAATCTTAAAAACACTAATTCCAAAAGAAGGCAGAAAAAGAGGGAAAAGGAAGAAAAGGAGATGGGACAAATAAAAAGTAAATATCAAAGTGGTAGATTTAAACCCAAACATATCAATAATCACATTAAATATAAATGGCCTAAACACCCCAATTAAAAGGTGGAAATTGTCAAATTGTATAAGAAGGCAAGACCCAACTATACGATGTTAAAAAGAAACACTTTAAATATGAAGACACCAATATATTAAAAGTATAGAAAAATATACATCTTGTAAAACCTATCAGAAGAAAGGTGGGGTAGCTATACTAATAACTGACATAATAGATTTCATAGCAAAGAATACTTTCGGGGACCAAAGTGTCCTTGAATAATGATAAAATGGTCAGCTCATCAAGGGGACATAACACTCTAAGAGCTTGTGCACTTAATCACAGAGCTTCAAAACACATGAGGCAAAAACTCATAGAAGTGAACGCAGAAACAGATAAATCTACAATCCTAGAGATTTCAACACTCTTCTCTCAATAACTGATAGAATAAATAGACAGAAAATGAGTAAGGATATAGCAAGGATATGGCAGGAGAGGCAGTAAGGAGATACAAGACTTGAATAACTAGACAAACAATAGCAGAATACACATTCTTTTTAATTGCACATAGAACACTTACCAAGATCAACCCTATTCTTGGCATGAAACAAGTCTTAATAAATCTAAAATCTTTCAAATTATATGAAGTTTGTTCTCTGATCACTAAGGAATTAAATCAGAAACCAAAAAATGAAAGATATCTGGAACACTGGACACTAAAGAACATGCTCCTAAAGAATCCATTGGTCAAAAAAGAAATTTTAGGGGGGCTGGCCCTGTGGCCGAGTGGTTAAGTTCGCGCGCTCCGCTGCAGGCAGCCCAGTGTTTTGTCAGTTCGAATCCTGGGCGCAGACATTGCACTGCTCATCAGACCACGCTGAGGCAGCATCCCACATGCCACAACTAGAAGAACCTACAACGAAGAATACACAACTATGTACCGGGGGGCTTTGGGGAGAAAAAGGAAAAAATAAAATCTTTAAAAAAAAAAAAAAAAAAGAAATTTTAGGGGCTGGCCCCATGGCCGAGTGGTTAAGTTTACACGCTCCGCTGCAGGCGGCCCAGTGTTTTGTTGGTTCGAATCCTGGGCGCGGACATGGCACTGCTCATCAAACCACGCTGAGGCAGCGTCCCACATGCCACAACTAGAAGGACCCACAACGAAGAATATACAACTACGTACCAGGGGGCTTTGGGGAGAAAAAGGAAAAAATAAAATCTTTAAATAAAAAAAAAAAGAAATTTTAAAAAAGCAAATCAGAAAGTATTTTTAAGTATTTTTGAAAATGAGAACACACCATATAGAAATTTCAGGACGCAGCCAAAGCAGTGGTTAGATAGGAGCTTCTAGCACTAAATGCCTCTATCAGAAAAGAACGATCTCAAATCAATGACCTAAGCTTCTACCCTAAGAAACGAGAAGACATGGAAAAAATTAAACCCAAAGTAAGCAGAAGAAAGGAAATAATAAAAATCAAATTGGAAATCAGTGAGATAGAAAACACGAAACAATAAAGAAAAAGAAATGAAACCAAAAGCTGGTTCTTTAAGAAGATTAATAAAATTGAGAAGGCTCTTGCCAACCTTATCAAGAAGAAAAAGAAGACACAAATTACCAATATCAGGAATGAGGGGATGACATCAAAACAGATTTTACAGACAATAGAAGGATAATAAGGAAACGTTATGAGCCACTTTAAGCCAATAAATTGGACAACTTAGATAAAATGGACAAATTCCTTGAAAGTCACGAAATACAAAAGTTTTCTTAAGAAGAGACCAATAATTTGAATAACCCGTTATCTATCCAAGAAATTGAATTTGTACTACCACAAGGAAAACTCCAGGACCAGATGGCTTTATTGGTAAATTCTATCAAACATTTTAGGAAGAAATAATACTAATTCTATACAAACTCTTCCAGAAAACAGAAGAAGAGGAACACTCCCAACTTACTAGAGGAGGCCAGTACCACCTGAAACCACAACCAAAGATGCTATAAGAAAATAAAAATAAAAATCTCCTTCATGAACTAGATGCAAAATTTATTAACAAAATATTAGCAAGTTAAAATCAGTGAGTTAGATCTGTGAAAAGTTTGTTTAAAAAATAAAAAGGCACAAATAAATAACATTAAGAACAAGAAAGGGGAATAACTTAAGAGACACATTTTTATTTTTACAGTAAAGGAGAAACATATTTACATATATATCTATGTCTATATATCTACACACAAGTTAAATGAATTATGACTGAAATTGGCTCAAAATTTTTAAAAATGATGGACTAATAACCATAGAATAAATTGAAAAAAATGATACAAAATTTTACTGCTAAACAAGATCCTAGGACTTATTTTGACCTGGGAGGAAAAGAAGAAAGATATCCAACTTTCTTTACAAAGCTAGCATAACACTGATATCAAATGGTGAGAAGAAAACCACAAGAAAAAAATACACACTTTAGGCCAATCTCATGTTTGAACATAGACATTATCTATGAACACAGAACTATCGGTTTGTTTTGCTAATATTTTACTCAGGTTTTAATATCAGCAAAGCAAATTGATAGTGTAATTAAATGAATGATGACCAAGTATGGATTACTCAAGAATGGAAGGAAGACTGTCTCAACATTAGAAAATCTATTAATGCAACCCACTAAATTAGCAGGTTAAAAGAAAAACTCATCTCAAAAGATGAGGGGAAAGTATCTGATAAAAGTCAATATCCATTCCTAAACAATAATTTTAGAAAAACTCTTAGCAAAGACTAGAGGCACACATGCTTAACTGGATAAAGGAAATTTATACCAAAAACCTATAGTAAGCTGCATGCTTAATGGTGGAACACTTGAAGCATTCTCATTGTCACGAACAGGTCATGGATGGCCGACTATCACCTCTCCTATTCAACATTTTACTAGAGATCCTAGAAAATGGAACAAGGCAAGAAAAATAAATAGGAGTGATAAATACTTGAAGGAAGAAAAGCCATCAGTGTTTATAGTTATGATTATCTAGAAAATCCAAGAATATCAGCTGGCAAACCTTTAGAACTAATAACAAAGTTCTGTAAAGAGGCCAAGAGTGCTGGGACTAGGGGAAAGGAAGTGAGGGCACCCAGGGAGTGAAATTTAAGGAGGCACTCACTGTTGGGGCCCACCCTGTCCCTGCATGACTGAGAGTATCTTTTTAAGTTTTGCACCTTATGTGTCTCACTTACTTCACCCTAATGTTGGCCCTGGGGGTCAGACAGAAGATCAACACAGAAAAATCAATAGCTTTCCTATGTACTGGTGTAGGACATTTGTCATCTCTTTGGCTATCCAGCCCTAAACACCTTTTCTATTTGAGGGGACTCCCCCATTGTGTGTGTCTGGAAGAATCTGTCTCCCTCTAAGGAACTGAAGGGGTCTGATACTTCTTCCTGTCCCTTGGAGATTAGAGTGTTGGCACATGATCGAGGCTCAACCAGTTGCATGCTCCTGCCCAGGACAGTGACTCTTGAGGGAGTGACAAACAGATCCACAAACAGTACAGAAACTGTTCACATTATTCTTGTCCATGTCCAGAGCCCAGTGACAGAGCCATCATGGAAAGTCCAGCATCAACCTTGGTGGGTGTGTCTCTCATGTGAATTTAATTTGTTCTCCGGCCAGATGAACCCACATTAGGTAGAGGAAAAGTATTCCTCCCTACACGGGGATGGTGATGTTCAGCAGTGCTGGTAGCTGGAGTCCTTGGTTCCTTCCAATTTTCTGAAACCTGATGTCCTTCCAATTTCTTTGCTGCAACTAAGGACCTGATGAATACTGATACAGCCATAAACTAGCAATAACTAGTTGGAAAATATAGACACATGCATTTAACTCCTCTCCCTCCTGAAACCCCATTAAAATGACAGAAAGGGGATTTTTAAGGAATAAATTCGGAAGGAATAAGAGAATAAAAGAGGAGACAAAAGCAAGAAAATTTTGAAGCTAGAAAGCAGATGGCTAAATGATTTAGCAGACCCAAGAAAGTTAAATCTGAACCCAGCAAGGGAGAAAGCCTGGGAGGTACCTGATTTACACCACAAACCCCCTAAGACTAGAGACAATGGCAGCTCCGGGTATCTCTGGAAGCAGAAGCGCCAGCAGGGCTGGCAACAGGCGAATTGGTTGAAAAACTCTTTAAGAAGCATCTAAACTCCTAGATTCTCCCCCTAACTCCATGCAGCCAAGAGAACAAAGTTAAAGCTCACGTAACTCAAAGCTGAGCTTATCCCCACCCCCAAGCCATCTTCCCCAGTGGCTCCACAGCTCAGGCAAGAGATAGACGAGCCATCCCTGCAAAAACCGATCAGCCAAAGAGGAAACACTCCAAGACGCTGATGTGAGCATTTCCCAACAAAACAGCCCAGTTAGGGTACCCTACAGTAAAACTACAGTCAAGAAGCCCCACCCATGCCCTCAGAGCTTCTGGTCAGTTTCTCGGGGACCCCCACTCTCTGATATGAGTAGAGAGCCAAGGGCCACCAGACAAGGGAGGAAAGACAGAGACGAAAAGAAATAAACATCAAGGAAAAAGCAACTTGGGGGAAACAGACCATACATGGAGAAGAAACACCAAAAAATTATCAAAACTGTTCTCAGGGAAGCCACAGTATGCAATAAATAAATAAATAAAAGGGAAGGGGACAACCAGAGAACCACACGAAGGGCTCTTGTAAATGAAAATATAATAGCAAGAATGAAAAACTCAGTGGAAGACTCGAGAGACAGAGTTGATGAGCTCTCCCCAAAGGCAGAACAACGACAACAAAAGTACGGAAAACAGAATCGAAAATATACAATAAGGTCACCAAGCAAGCAGGTGGCACAGACAGGATTAGAACCCTGGCAGTTTTGCTCCAAAGTTCATATGGTGTTGGTATAGGCAGACAAATATTTTAATGGAACAGGATAAAGAGTATAGAAATATATATAGGAATGATAAAGATCACATTTAAAAGCAAATGGGAAAGGACGGATTACTCAGAAATATCTGTGTGACAATTGGTTGTAGGAAAAAAAACAGATAAAAGTTGATCCCTTCCTGGCTCCATTCACAAAAGAAACTGCCATATGAAATCAAGAGTGAAATGTCAAAACAACAACAACAACTACGAAAGTATTAGGAGAAAACACAGGGGAATTTATTATAACCTTGAGACAGTGAAAGCCTTCTTAAGTACAATGGCTGTAAAGAAAGGAGAAAATTCTGGCTATAACAAAATCTAAAACTTTTTTCAACAAAAAAGCTCACAGACAAAGTAAAAAGGCAAACAACAGATTGGAAGAAAATATATACTTGGCAAAGGATACATACAGGCAATTCACAGAAGAGAAAACCTCAACAGCCAACAAAAATATGAAGAGATTAATGAAAAGTAACACGAGATGTCATTTTCTTCCATCAGTTTGCAAAAAATATCAATTGATAATATCAAGGTCAGCAAGGCTGTGGCTTTCATGCCGTTTTTGAAGGACCATTTAGCAATATATACATTAAAACTAAACACACATACCCGTCAGGAGCACTGGGGCATATGAAGAAGAATTTACAAAGATTTTCATTGTATTATGCAAAAGCCACAAATTAGGACACCCTCAATATCATCAATATTCTAATAGCCAAATAAACTATGGTACATCCATAACATGGAATAGAACACAGAAGGTCGAAAGAACAAGGTAGGTTTGACACTGAAAAACCTTGCCAATAAGCTGAGTAAAAAAATTCTAGTTTGTAAGAAAATATATATAGTATGATGCTTCTTATATACAAAAAAAATTCCCATAAAACAAAACTATATTTTTCAAAATAAACAGATAAAAGAAGGTAAATATACACTAAAGGTCTAGAAAACACACACCAAGCTAGTAGTGGCGATGCCCTCTGGGGAGGGCTGCTCTATCCGAATGACCTGGCTTTTCCCAGAGTGATATATTCACACGTTATTTCTATCATTTGAAACATAATGTCATCTAAAAAGGGGAAAAAGGAAGGGCTCTAGAGAGACTTCCATCTGCAAGTTCATCACGCCTCTGCTGAGGAGCTGGAGTCCTCCGAGAGCGAAGCCTCTGGAAAGCACAGTGCTCTCTGCCTCAGAGGGAGAGCCAGGAGGCTCCAGGAGGCTGCTCTGTTCTCCAAGGGACTCCAGTACAAAGATGGAGCCCTCAAGAAACCCAGCTTGGCAGATGGGCTGTTATTTTGGCAGGGGCAAATTGGGCTTCATGGGGCCTGAAGTGTGCACAATTTAGGGGCCTCTGTAAGAAAAAGAACACAAAATTTTGAACACAAAATGACCATGGCACCCTAATACTACCCAATATGGGGGAAATTGTGCCAGACAGGATGTCTGAACAAAAAGAGACAGTGGTCTTAAGTAATTGTGGTTAAAATATGTTACTTTGGCCAATTTTACAAAAATACGTGACCATGTGAACACATTACTAGGACCACTCCCAGGGCCTTGGCAGGGGCCATCCAAGTGAGGGGCCCTGGACACTGACCCCCCTTACCTTCAAGGAAACTCGGCTCTGGACAAAGTTGGGTGACTTGGGTCTATTACCACAAGGACAGGACGCCATCTTCCACGGATATGAGGCAGAAGATCAAGTCACAGAGAAACTGCAAATAGTGCCCTGGCGGAAGCTTTTACTAGGATATTTGATAGTTAAGGTAAATTTCAAGTCAAAATAAAAATCTCTAACATGCAAAATCTCTCTGGAGATTTTCTCTAAAGTTTCTTACCATTTCTAAATTATCTGAAGTCATGGCATCAAGAGTGTTCTGCGGAGAAAAATGACAAATTAATTCAGAGGAGGCTTTGATATGTTCCCCCTCCCCTTTTAATCTTCTGAGATGCTCTTTCTTCCCCCCAGTTACTCTTGTGAGTAGTGAACTCATGCGGTGGACATGGAGGACCAATATTTGTGTGGTCCTTCTGCCCGCAGGATTTTAACACATGATCCTGACTCTCCAGGATCTTAAAACGTAGCTGAGGAAATAAGAAACAGCAACGGTAAGAGGAAATATCAATGAGCAGAGATAAGGAGATCAGTCAGGAGACCACTACAAAAATCTAAGTTGATGCGAATATTTCTGATTGGTAAAATAAATCAGCGATGTTGACAATTTTATTTAACTCTAAATATAATTCATAGTACAAGAACTGCCACTGACCCTGGCATTAGTTGGTTGCTTCTCAGCATATGGAAACTGAGTGAATTATGGTGATAAACCACCCCCATTCCAAGGTGCCTTTCCCAGCTGGATAACAAATTAATCCCTCAAAAAATCTATCTGTTGGGCACTGAGTATGATACTATGAAGCTGGTTGATAAAAAGAAGCAGAAGGTTGGTCTTAACAATGTAGAAATTTATTGTCTAGTTAAGAAAAAAGCACTTTCATGGACAACAGGATAACTAAAAATCAAGGTAGTATGTGGAAAGTGTCAAAAAAGAGGCACAGAGAATAAATTCTGTGAGAGTTTAGAGCAGGAAGCTCTCCGGGCTGGTAACGCTCCCAGTGGTACAGGACTGCGCCCCGCCATGAAGATGCACACTCAGGAGAAAAGGCATTTATTCAAAGCCAGTCGATGAGCTCAGCACGAGTGTGAGTCTCAATCTCAGTCTCCTATCTTAATTTTTTCACTAATTGTTCCACACCTAATACAACATCTTTTAAAGGCATGCTCAATTAATATTAGTTGTTGTTGGTTAAAAAATAATAACTACACATAAGATAGATAAGAAAATTAAGTCTTAAAATAATATTTACTGAAGAACTATATTTTAAAGACACAGCATGAGGCCCGGGGATCACATATAATTAAACTGAAATGGTGGAGAGCCTAACTTCTAAGAAGAACACGAAGAATATATGTATTCCCATATATTGAGAACAATCTTGTTATACCATCATCTGGGAAATTTAGTGGAATGCGAGGCATCAAAGGGTTATTTCAGCCCAGGAGGGAAAAAATTACCTCCCATGCAGGAGTCAGGCCAGAAGACCCTCTTCCCAGAGAATCGCCTGGGAGTGGTCTTGCTGGAGGGCACCTCTCAGACAAGAGACACTGAGACTCCCACCATGGAAGTCACCTCTACTTTTTACTACCTTATTTTAACCAAAGCAAACTGATTAGGGAGACAGGGGCCAGTGTGCCCACTGTCCTCTCTTGTAGCCTCCAGAAGGACTCATTCATCTTGAACTCCCAAAGAGGACGGAGGCTCGATGTGGGTCAAGGGAGGGAGAAACGAATGCGCCGAAAGCAGAGATGCTTCCTACCAGTTGCAGCTGTCTGACTTTTTTCTTCGGATTTATACTGAGTTGCGGGTGCTCCACTTCCTTGAGCCAGGACTCCTTGGGCAATTTATACACATCCAGCCAAATATCTCCGGCTCCTGCATTGGGAAACCAAGGAGCCATTGAGCAACTGCAAGCAGGCAACAAGTTTCCTCTGAGAAATGGCCTGGCACCTTAGAATCCCTGGCACGGAGACCGGCAGACCCCCTCCGAACAGCACCATTGAAAACTGAAGGAGATGTAGTCCTGCATCGGTTACGGCAAGTTGTCACTCGCGGAAAGCTGTAGAGCTCCTCCCTCCAGCCACAGCATCTAAAGAACACGGGCTCCTGACACTCACAGCACCGATGTGACAGTTTTTAACCCAACTGTCTGCTCTGCCCAGTCCCCATGTTTTCTAGCTTCCAAATGGTACATTCCACTGACATTCCGTCTTGCAGCTACTTCCGTGTGGGGAGGAGAGTGGCATGTAGAGAATCAGTAACTGAGAGGGGGATGGCTGAGAGGGTTGGAATTGGGACATGCCACAAGAGAATTCTTCTGACCAGTCTCTGAGGAGATGACAACCCATGAGGGGACTGTAGGACTTTACCTTGCCAAAGAAACCCTCAGCTTCTATACCGAATATCTGCCAACCTGGGAAAGGTCGCTTTCCTGGTCTGGGATTCTGGCTAAACGTTTCCTGAAAAAAGTAATCATCTGAACAACTTTATTCAGACTTCTGGCCTCCAGAGCTGTGAGAGAATAAATATCTGCTGTTTTAGGCTGCCCAGTTTGTGGTACTTTATTATGCCAGCCCTAGGAAACTACTAGAAATGGTACAAACGTTTCCTTTGATGTATAAAACATTATAAAATATATCTCTTCCTCAAGCACCTAGTATCCGAGGGGCATGAGGCAAGAGTACAAATACAGGCCCATATACCATATGTCTAAATATTTAAAAGTTAAAAATCAAGCTCACAGTCATTCGAATAACATGTTGTTCTATCACCACAGTAATAATTGCAACAGGTAAGACTCCGTGATGAATGCTAAAATTGGTGGGCAAAACTTTAAGGAGAAATGGGATATTTGCATAACCTCACAGTATCTCCCCGAAGATGTTCACCAGTTACTGTGGTAGTTTCAACATATGTCCAAAATTCTTTGATCTTCCCATCTCTAGGAAGTGGTGCTTCAATTCTCTCCCCTTGAGTGTGGTCTGGACTCAGCGACTTGCTTTTAACAGAGTATGGAAAGGGAAAAACGGTAGCTCAACAGTGGAGGAAGCTGGCAAACACCACTTTAAGTGATCAAGGTTAAGAGAAGCAATAGTGAGTAACGTATCTTCCCCCAAGTCCTTAACCCCGGTTGAATCATAAGAAAAATCCAGACAAACTGAAATTGAGGGACATTGCATGAGGTATTCTTCAAAAGTGTCAAGGTCATGAAAAACAAGGAAAGACCAAGACATTGTTACCGACAGGAGTAGACTAAGGAGATACAATGACTAAATGCAATATGGTATCCTGGACTCAACCTTGGAGCCAAAAACTAGATTAGGGGGAAAAGTGGTGAAATCTGAAAAAAATCTGTAGTTAATAGTATTGTACCAATGCTACTTGCTTCATTTTGATGGTTATACTGCGGTTATGTTAAACGTAGGTATTAGGGAAGCTGGGTGAAGGGTAAAGGGGAACTCTGCACTATTTTTGCAACTTGTTTTGTAAATTATTTCTGAATAAAGGTTTGGGGGAAAAGTGATTATCTGGAAGAGATTACAAATAGGAGCCTTCTGAACAGCCTCTGGTTAACTTGCCTTGTAGGAAGAAGGCTGCAAAGTCCCCTCCTTGAGAAATCTCCATCTTTAGGCAGGTGGATTGCTTGCTGGTGTCCTCCTGGAAAGAAGCAAGATGCAGAGAGAGTGAGCTCAGCCTGACGACAGAGAAGAATGCATCTCAGGACTTTTGTGGTTCACACTAGAGAACAGAAATCCTTCTAAAGCTTGGGATATGAAAAGATGCCTCCAACTGTTTCATACTTTCTAATTTTGTACAGGAATTGGGCAAGATCACATGCAAAGAAGTGGAACTCCATCTTCTGTCTAAAAGTTTTTGGACTTATTTCCTGGTTTCTGAAATAATTCTGATGATTCGTGGTGATTTCATACTATCTGATCTCCTGGTCAGGTCTGCAAACCCTCCAGATCTGCGCCGGAACTCAATTATTCAAAATAGTCTGAAGTAAATTCTACATGATACTGAAAACTCTGGTCATTGCTTGAAGAAAGGCTCTCTCTAGACTAGAGTAGTGTCTCAGTCTGTTCAGGCTGCTATAACAAAACACCATAGACTGAGTGGCTTATAAACAATAAACATTTATTTCTTACAGTTTTGGAGGCTGGAAATCCAAGATTTCCAAGGATTTCAAGAACTCGGCAGATCTGGTGTCTGGTGAGGGCCAGCTTCCTGGTTCGGAGTCTTCCTGCCGCCTCTTTGCTGTGTCCTCCCATGATGGAAGGCTCAAGGGAGCTCTGTGGGGCCTCTTCTTAGGGCACTAATCTCTTTCATGAGGGCTCTGCCTTCATGACCTGCTCACCTCCCAAAGGTCCCACCTCCTCACACCATCATATTGAGGGTTAGGATTTCCACGTGAATTCTGGGGGAACACAATCATTCAGTCCATAGCAAGTAGAGACTGATTCTAACCCTAGTATGAAACCTGCTCAAATTTCGGGCCAGGTAAGAGAGACTCAATGTGAATGGTTGTGCTATACCTTTAAGGAGCTCTAAGACTAGCAAGATAAGGTGGCTAGATTGGTTAGGCTGGTAAGCCCCCAATTTACTTAAGAACGAGTTTTAAATATTTTTTATTTACATATTTTAATACCAACTTGTGGTCGGAGAAATTTCAAACACAACATAAAGAGAAAACAGTGTAATGAACACCCATGTGTCCGTTACTCAACTTCAGCAAGTATCACTAGATGACAAATCTTGTTTATTACCTCCCAACCTCATTAATATTTTATTTAATTAAGCCTAAAAGATTAACAATAATTCCTTAATACCACTTAATATCCAGTCTGTTTCAAATTTCCTCAGTGTTTCATAAATCTCAGAAATATCTTTTCACAATTGGTTTCTTCAAATCAGGATCCAAATGAAGTCAGGTACTGTATTTAGTTAGTGTATCTCTTAAGTCTCTTTTAGTTTATAACTGTCCCCCCATTTCTTTTTTGTGATTTATCTGTTGAAGAAACCGGGTCCTTTGTCCTATGGACTTTTTCACATTCTGGGTTGGACTGATCTCATCCCCACGGTGTTGTTTAACACGTTGCCGGGTCCCCTGTATTTCCTGTAAACTGGTAATCAGGTCTAGAGGTTTGATTAGATTTAGGTTCAACTGTTTGGGCACCAATACTCCACGGGGGGGCGGTGTCTCGCTCCTGCATCACATCAGGAGGCTAATAACAGCTGGTTGTTCTCTCTCGCAGTCATGTTAAGGTTGACCATTGAGAACAGGTGTTGCCATCCTGGCTCATCAATGATAACGCTCCCCATGAGCCATTGATGGTCATTGCCTAGGCCATTACTCTGCAAAATGGCTATAAAATTAAGATAGCCCAATTCCGTCATTCCTTTTGCATTTGTTAGAATTCTTCCATAAAGATCTTTCCACCATCAACTATTTGATTACCCTGAAATACAGCCTATACAGGAAAGTCAGGATAAACACTTGATTTTCTCCCTTACCAGTTTTCAGAATACTGAGTTTCTACCCCAGCAACTTGCAAAGGTAAAAATGAAGTCTTTAAAAATCTATATTATGAATTAATGATTTTTAAAAATATTTTTGGTGTGTTCTAACCCATTAACACTATGTTCTGTATAATGTCCCTGTCAATTTGGATATCACGGTTATGCTGGTCTCATAAAATGAGCAGAGGGGTATGTATTCTCTATATATTGTCTTTAGAGAGTTTCTTAAACATAAAATTTAAATAGTTAAAGGCACAGATATTAAATGTACATCTTGATGAGTTCTGGCAAATATATACACCTGTGTAACTAACCCACAGTGAAGGTATAGGACATTACCATCGCCCTAGAAAGCATCCTAGTGCCCTATTTCAGTCAACTACCCTCTATAGGCAATCGCTGCGCTCATCTTCCTCACCAACACACATGAGTTTTTCCTGCTCTTAAATTTCATATCATTGGCATCATACAGAATGCACTCTTTGTACATTCTGGCTTCTTTCACTCAACTCAAAGTTTTTGAATTTTATCCACTGTGTTGGGAGCATCACTAGTTCATTACGTTTTATTGCTAAATAGCATTCCATTGAATTAATATGCCACAAATCTGTATTCATTCTGATTGTTTCTAGTTTTTGATTATTATAAATAAAGCTTCTATGAACATTCTTGTACAAATATTTTTGGGGATATATGTTTTTACTTCTCCTGGGTAAATATCTAGGAGTCAAATTGATGGGTCATAGGTTTAACTCTATAAGAAACTACTATACTGTTTTTCAAAGTGGGTGTACCATTGACACTTCCACCAGCAACGTATGAAAGGCCCTGTTGCTGCACACCCTCATCAGTATATGGTGTGCTGTCTTTTCAATTTTAAGCATTAGAATAGAGTGTAGTGATGTCTCATTGTGATTTTAATTTGCCTTTTTCTGTTACTAATGTTATTGGGTACTTTTAAAAATTAGTTGTTCATATATCTTCTTTTGTAAAATGTCAGTTCAAGTCTTTTGCCTATTTTTTAATTGGGCTGTCTTTTTATTATTGATTAGGAGTCCTTTATATATTCTGGATATATTTTAAAAGCTATATATATACATTGCAGGTATCTAGTCTGTGGCTTGCTTTTCTGTTTTCTTAATAGTATCTTTATAATAATAATAATTACAAAGAACTTTATTAACAAGTGCTTGCATTTTGTTGACTTTTTTGAAAAAAACTGAGTGTAATCCCTTTTAAAATCTTTTGTGAGTGTGAGGAAGATGGTCCCTGAGCTAACATCTGTTGCCTATCTTCCTCTTTTCGCTTGAGGAAGATTGTCCGTGAGCTAACATCTGGGCCCATCTTCCTCTACTTTGTATCTGGGATGCTGTCACAGCGTGGCTTGATGAGCGGTGTATACATCGGCACAGGGATCTGACCACACGAACCCCGGGCTGCAGAAGCGGAGCCTGTGAACTTAACCACTACGACATCAGGCTGGCCCCTGTAATGTTTTATCCAAAATAAAAAATGAGGTTCTTAAAAATTTCAACTTGGCGAGATATGGAACAGTTTAAAAACCTTTAAAGGTGCATTGAGAAAAACCAGGCTTTTTAAAAAACCCATTTGGTATTACCAAAAAGAGATATCTTTAGGTAAAAATAAAAACCGGATGCTGCATAGATAATGCCAATATTTCTAGTTATCGAGTCCATGGTCAAAAAACCAGGCAAGTAAGGTCTTCAGCTCCAATCTTTTGCTCACTTTTTATTGCTGGAATTTCATAGTCATTTCTCAAACCAGGTGATGGTACAGGTGGCAAACCGACGTTCGCTCAGCCCAGCCCTGCTCAGCCTCGGAAGCTGACGAATTCTCAGTGGAACTCTCGGCTGCTTTTGTCCTTATGCCATCTCAAGGCTAGGTTTTGCAGGTGTTTGCAGCGGCACTAGAAGTTGCAGGGTACCAGCGCTAGGTGGCTGCTGACCTCAGGTCTCATCTCCTTGGTTTTCCTCCTCCTCTCCCCGCCGTGCTCTCTGGGCTCTCTTTGGCGAGGAGGGCCTGTCTTCCGATACAGACTCTGTCTCCTTGGTCTACCTGGTTCTGCACTCTGCCTGTCAGTTCCCTCCATCGCTTCTCCCTGCACAGGACGACTGACATGCTGTGGTGGGTGCCCGCAGGGTCTCTGTACTCTGGCAGGCGGGCCCCGTCACCTGCTGTGGGGCCTGGCCTTTGGGGGCCCTCTCCGACTCCTCGTTCTTTCCCTCTCTCTCACCAGGGTGGAATTCTGCTGGTAATGGTGTGGATGTGGACACTTTCACAATGGTTCGGGCCTGCTGCAGACTTACTGCCTCGCACAGAACTCCACCAGGCCTGTACCATCTGCTGCCTCCGCACCCATTTCTCCTTCAACAACATCCACTCTACCGTCTATCCGTCTCCCACGCCACAAAGGCCTTCCTGGGGTTATTCTTTATGGCAGTCTCCTGTCCAAATACTTCTTCCTTGGTGTCCTTCCTGTTGATGAAACCGTATCTGTTCTTCACATGGAACCATTTGACTGTTCCCTAAACTGTCACTGCCATGCCCGGCTTGTCCCCACCAGCGGGTGCCACTGCTCCCTGTGCTGTGGTGGGTGGTACAGGTGTGGGCAGTGCAGAGGCCGCTGCTGGGTCTCTGCCTCACTGCTCAGAGTTGTGGTCATGGTGACTGGGGCCGGCGTGACAGCTGCAGCTCCTTCTTGGGTGTGAGGGTCACTAGGCTGGGCGCCGGTGGGGTTGCTCAAGGTTTTCTGGGGTCTGCTCTCAACTCCTGCTACCGAGTGAACTTTAATAACATCTTTTGATGAGCGAAAGTTTTAATTTTTGTAACAGCTTTATCAGAGGCATAATAACATACAATAAACTGCACAAAGTATAGAATTTGATATGTTTTTGACATAAGGACAGCCCTTGAAACCATCACCACATCAAGATATTGAACATATCCATCACCCCCAAAAGTTTCCTCCCGCCCCTTGGTAATCCTTCCCTCCACCTTTCTCCCACCCGACCCTAGGCAAAAATTGATGTTTTCTGTCACTAGATTAGTTTGTATTTTCTAGAACTTCACATAAATGGAGTCACACAGTATGTATCCTTTTTTGTCTGACTTCTTTCACGCAGCACAGTCGTTTTGAGATTTATCCCTGTGGTTACGCGCATTGATAGTTCGCTCCTTTCACTGCTGAGCAGCGTCCCGTTGTGTGGACATCCCACAGTGTGCCTATCCATTCACCTGTTGATGGACATTTGGGTGGTTTCTGGGTTTTGGCTATTACAAATAAAACTATTATGAACATTCATGTGCGAGTCTTTGTATAGGGATATGCTTTCATTTCTCCCGGGTAAACACCCAGGAGTGGAATGGCTGGATCATATGGCAGGTGTATGTTTAACTTTTTAAAAAACTGCCAGAACAGTCGTACAGTTCTACTTCACCACAGCAGTGTATGAGCGTCCTGTTGTGGAGCACCTCTGCCAGCACTTGGTGTGGTCGGTCTGTTTAATTTTAGGCATTCTAATACATGTCTAGTGGTTGCTCATTGTGACTTTGACTTGCATTTCCCTAACGACTAATGATGTTGAGCATCTTATTTGCCTTCCATGTAACTTCTTTGGTGACCTATCTTTCTTTTCAAATCCTTTGCCCATTTAAAAAACTGGGTTGTTTATTTCCTTATTTTTGAGTTTGAGTTTTGGGAGTTCTTTACATATTCTGGATACAAGTCCTTTATCAGATAGGTGATTTTCAATTCTTTTCTCCCAGTCTATCGCTTGTCTTTTTATTCTTTTCATGGTGTCTTTTATAGAACAGAAGTTTTAAATTTTGATGAAGTCCAATTTATCAATTTTTTCTTACATGGACTGTGCTTTTGATATTGGAGCTAAAAATTCTTTGCCTAACCCAAGGTTACAAAGAGTTTCTCCTATGCTTTCTTCTAGAAGTTTTATAGTTTTAAATTTTACATATAAGCATATAATACATTTTGAGTTAATTTTTGTATATGGTGTGAGGAATAAGAAGTTTTTAATTCTGATGAAGTCCAATATCAATTTTTTCTTTTATGGTTAGCACTTTTCATGTCCTAAGAAATCTTTGCCTGTGCCAAGGTTGAAAAAATATTTTCCTGTGTTTTCTTCTGGAAGGATGACATTTTAGCCTTTACATTCAGGTTTATAATCCATATCCAATCAGTTTTTGTATATGGGGTGAAGTAGGGGTGTGGTTCATTTCCTCCTCCACTTGTTTACCTAGCATTCCAGCATCATTTGTTGAAAATACTTCCTTTCCCCCACTGAACTGCTTTGGTGCCCAACAACAGTACTTTTTACAAGACAAACTGCAAGTAAAAATCTACTCTGGGGCTGGCCCTGTGGCCTAGTGGTTACGTTCAGCGTGCTCTGCTTCGGTGGCCTGGGTTTGTGGGTTTGGATCCTGGGCGCAGACCTACACCACTCATCGGCCATGCTGTGGTGGCGATTTGCATAAAAAGTAGAGGAAGACTGGCACAGACGTTAGCTCAGGGTTAATCTTCCTTAGGAAAAAAAAATTTACTCTGAGCAATTCTCTCTCTTTTTTTGGATCCATTGATTCAAAAAACACTTGCTCGGGGCCAGCCCAGTGTCACAGCGGTTAAGTTGGCATGTTCCGCTTCAGTGGCCAGGGGTTCGCCGGATCGGATCCTGGGTGCAGACATGGCACTGCTTGGCAAGCCACGCTGTGGTAGGCATCCCACATATAAAGTGAAGGAAGATGGGCACAGATGTTAGTTCACGGCCAGTCTTCCTCAGAAAAAAGAGGAGGATTGGCAGCAGTTTAGCTCAGGGCTAATCTTCCTCAAAAAAAACAAAACAAACAAACAAACAAAAATACTTGCTGACAACCTACAGTGTGCTAGGAACAAGGGACACACAGGTGAGTAAGACACGTCCCCTGCCCTCGGGAAGCTTAGGTCCAGGAGAAGCAGCAGTCATACAAACAAGTAAGCATGGAGGGTGGAGGAAACAGCATGACAGAAAGGCTGTTCTTTGTGGGGGTGGCACAGAGGAGGGAGAGAGGGCTCTCCCTTGGGTATATGAGGGAATGCATCTCAGCAAGGGAGAGATGGAGCTGGTCTTGAAGGAAACTAAGGGAACGAGGGAAATTGAAGAGGTACACACAGTAGGCAGGGAGGCAAGGAGGGCACTCCAAGCAGTGGGAACAGCATGGGCCAGGGAACAGGGTGTGAAGCAGCCTGGAAAATTCAGGGACTTCTAAGTAGTTACTAGATATGCTGGTCTGGTGCCCAGTCTGGCCTGGAGCTCCTCAGCAATTGTCTTCTCTCAACAAAAGGGTGTACAAACCCAAGGTGCTGAGCACGTGCCCGCTGACGGTGGGGGATCTTGTAACGGGACATTCTGGAGGAGGCTCCCTGACCAGGGAATCTATTTCTTTCCACTCTAGGACAGCTGTCACCACCTCCCTATTAGAAGTAAACTCGATTTGCTGTAGCTTTTGGCCCAGCTATGGGTGAAAGAATAGGAACTTACCACTTCGTTGATGGCTTTGATGAGGCAAAGACCATCCTTATAAAGATAGAACAGTCTAACGATGCCTGAAACAGAAAAATAAGTGAGAATGTAAGACAGACCAGCAAACCAAAGAAGCACTAGAATGTTCTATTTGACTTTCTGAAATGATCGTCGAAAGCTCATGCCTTCTCAGGCCTCCTCCCTGGCCCCTCCACTGCCAGGATGAGCTTGGTATGCCCGCCTTGCTCCACCTCTCACTTGAAGGGTTCAAGCTCTGCTCCCTCCTGGGTCCTCTCCGCCTGCCTGGCCCCGTCCCTTCTCCTGGAAGCCTCCGTAAGGACTTGGGCCCCCAGCGATCCCCTGCTTGGTTTCTGTCTCCCTGTTTCAGCGCAGCATCCTGCACTGCCCCACACTGTCATCCAACTGCTTCCTGTGAGTGTGTTTTACTCCTTTCAGCGAGTTTACAGATTCCTTGAGGGAAAGAACCACATCTCACCGTTCCATGTGCCTCGCCTCTCAACCCCCAATAAGCTCCTCATGCAGTTAATTTTGTTGTATTCATAATTCCATCACTCTAATTCCCATTTCGCCTAAGGGCTCCGTATATGATCATCACCCCCCATGCCTTCTTGCCTCTTTCTTTAGATGCCTCCCACACACTCAGAACTTGTTCTACTCCCACAGTACAGACCTTGTCAAGGCATCTGGCCCACCGTGGGTGGAATTCTGACTCTGCACCATGCCCACAAATGTGCTAGGGACCACCAAGGCCATCTCTGCCTTGAAATTCACCACAGAGCATCACACAGATGTGAAACCAATTAGATATAATGCAGAGTGACAAATGCAATCCTATCTTCAGACCAAACTTCTCCTGAGCTTCAACATTCCCACTCCCAACGCCTGAAAGCTGAGCGTGCTCAAATCGAACTCCCCAACTCACAGACCCAGAGCCAGATTCTCCTGTAACCGCTATCAAGCAACGGCACCATCATCCACCCCATCAACTACGGCAGGAGGGAGCCATTTCCCTTCACCTCCCCCTCACACATCTGCCCACTCCCCACCCCATGCACGTTCCATCACTCACCAAGTTTTTCCATTATATTTTCCTTTTCATTTTTAAAGCTTTTTATTTTGAACTAACTTGAGACTTACAGATAAGTTGCAAGAACAGTACAAGGAGCTCGCTCCTTCCTTCACCCACTTCCCCTAATGTTAACACCTTCCATCAGCATAATCCAATTTCCCTTTTCATTTCAATAGCCCCTTGCCTTGGTTCAGACCTTCATAATTTCTCTCCTTAATGAATACAATAGTTCTTCCTGCTTTCTCTGCCTTTTGACTTTTTTAAACTCCTAACCAGTGTGCCCTTCCTAAAATGCCAATCTGGTCAGGTCAGCCCCCTGCAGAAAGCGTCCTCCAGGACACTGTCTATAGTTCTCTATACTGTAGTCCTGTTGGGGGCCTGGTTCATCCTCAGCTCAGGCTGAGGTTCACGTGAGCGGCAGGACTGCTGCAGGCGCGAAGGGTGTGGGACTCTGGGGCCACGCTGCCCGGTTCAATGCTGCCGGTGCCACTTACTTCCTGTGTTAGCTCACATAAGTTACTGAACCTCCCTGCCTCAGTTGCCTCTTCTGAGAGACATGGATAATAAATTACACCTACCTCCCAGGGCTGTAGTGAGGGTTCAATGGGCCAATATATGTGAAATGTCAGAAAAGTGCCTGGCACACCACATTGTCCTGTAGGTGTTAGTTACCACCACATGACCATGCCTGGCCCTGCTCATTTCTGGAAAGGAGATGAAATTGAGCAATGTCCACAGTTGCTTGTTAATGAAGCTGAAAAAGGAAGATGAAGAACATGTACCTATTTCGTCCACAGGAGCAATAAGTATTTCACTCCCCAAATCTGTGGCACAGATGGAAGTGACATCAACCTTAAGTTTCTCCCAAACGTATATTTGTTTAGCATTGAACAGACTATGGATGGAGAATCCTCTGGCTCCTCCAATAAACACGTAGTCTTGGGAAATCGCCATACAATTTGGCATTTTGTTGAGCTGAGAAAACAAAAACAAAGAAAAAAAAAGGAACGATTTCCAGCTGTTGCCATCTGCAAGTAACATGAGCTAACTTTTCAAAGAGGGATGTGGGCCCTTCCTAAATATAAGATCATCCCCAGACATGGTGCTCATCTAATTATGTTGCCCAAGCATTGAGAAAGTCACAGCATTCCACTTAGGGGAAAGGGGCCAGAGAAAACAAAGAAGTTGAGGATAAATGCACGTTCACAACACTAAGCACGACTACAAGCCCGGTGATGAGTGGACAAGTGGCCCCATTCCCTGTACTTTATTAACCTGGAACACTGTGGGAGGAGCTATGGCTGAGGCACTGGTATATTTCCAACCATCGAGCATGATTAATACCTTCAGAAAGACTGTTAAATAACAACAGAATATAAATGACTTTCTGTATAATCTTCAATTAACCAGAACACCCCAGGCAATCACTAGATCCATTTTAACCAACATCAGCACACCTGTAATCTTTTAAAACTGCGTCTGTCTTACTGAATGAAGGTTCCCGGTAGGAATGCATCCCTGGACCAGGTGTTTTCACATATTAATCCTAAAGTGAGAAACAGGGACTCCGGGTCAGCTGCTCCGTACCTTGCTTTCCACAACTGGAGGGTAGACGGTGGGCCGGATGCGGCTGAGCTCAGATTTCCTCAGTGCGTCCCTCTCCTCGATAACTTCCCACGACCGGTCAAACAGAAGGTTCACCAGCTTGTTGATCATGCGATAAGGCTGAGGCAGGGAATCCAGCTCCTCATCCGGATCCTTGAAGACATAATCCTCTTCATCATCCTTAGACCAGTCCTTCTCTGTTGGGGATGGCACCTCCAGCGGCACCTTTCGTGTAAAACTGGGCAGCCTTGTTTTCTGGGCTTGACTTCCTTTGGGGGATGACATCACAGAAGGTGGCACTGGGAATTTCTATGAAATTCTGGAAAGCTGATGAGGAAGTAAGCAAAGGTACCTTGAGAAAAAGGGGACGTTACCAGAAGACAGCACATCATCCTCTTTCCCACAATAGCCTACGCGGACCGTCTACTCTGGAGACTGGCACTTTCCTAGGATTGTTTCCCAGGATCCCAGGATTGTTTCCGCATTACTGAGATACACTCTTCAGATTAGTAAGGACATCGGCAGAGCCAGGTATTGACTATTCACATCCTCCAGGCCAGCCCATGATGATGTGTACTATGATGGAAGGATAGGGATTTGGCATCTGTGTGCCTTTCTTCACCTCCTAATAAGAGAGTGGCAGGGCTGGCCAGTGGCACAGCAGTTAAGTTCGCACGTTCTGCTTCAGCAGCCCGGGGTTCACCGGTTTGTATCCCGGGTGCAGACCTACACACTGCATGTCAAGCCATGCTGCGGCAGGCTTCCCACATAGAAAGTAGAGGAAGATCGGCATGGATGTTAACTCAGGGCTAATCTTCCTCAAAAAAAAAAAGAGAGTGGCTGTCTTTCTGTCCCAAATAGAATTCACTCTCTCTCCAGCAATGTACGCCGTCTCCTGTTCTTCCGTGTCTGCAGATGGCTGTGCTCAAGCCCGCTAGGTATGAGCTACGACTTCTCCCCTTCCCTCTCCATCACCTCCAGTCTGATGCCGTTCACGCACTTCCACTCCTTGCTGTCTAATTTGTTCCTTCTTTCTCTTCCCACTACTGCCGCCCAGCAGTTCTGTAGGCTCACTGCCCAGAGCCTATGGGGTTTTTCAAGGGCCTACAGAAAAGTCTGAGACTTGGGGAAAAAAAAACCTGACTGAAAAAAAAGCCCACAAAATCAAAATAATTAAATATTTACAAAAATATTTACAACTTATCAGCTCCACTCTGTATGCGTACATAAAGTTTAAGTCTATAAGAAAAGAACAAGTAATCTGTACCTTATAAAACTCAAAACTGTACAAAAATTACAATCGCAACTAAAAGAATAAAGTACCTAGGAATAAATTCAACCAAGGAGGTGAAGGACTTATACAATGAAAGCTATAAGACATTATTGAAAGAAAGTGATAATGACATAAAGAGATGGAAAGAGATTCCACGCACATGGATTGGAAGAATAAACATAGTTAAAATGTCCATACTACCCAAAGCAATCTACAGATTCAATGCAATCCCAATCAGAATCCCAATGACATTCTTCATGGAAACAGAACAAAGAATCCTAAAATTCATATGGGGCAACCAAAGACCCCGAATTGCTAAGGCAATCCTGAGAAAAAAGAACAAAGCTGGAGGCATCACAATCCCCAACTTCAAAATACACTACAAAGCCATAGTGATCAAAATGGCATGGCACTGGTACAACAACAGGCACAGAGATCAATGGAACAGAACTGAAGGCCCAGAAATAAAACCACACATCTACGGACAGCTAGTCTTTGTCAAAGGTGCCAAGAACATACAATGGAGAAAAAATAGTCTCTTCCATAAACGGTGCTGGGAAAACTGGACAGCCACATGCAAAAGAATGAAGGTAGACCACTATCTCATGCCATACACAAAAATAAACTCAAAATGGATCAAAGACTTGAAGATAAGCCCTGAAACCATAAAACTCCTGAAAGATAATATAGGTAGTACGCTCTTTGACATCGAACTAAAAAGGACCTTTTCAAATACCATGTCTTCTCAGAAAAGAGAAACAAAAGAAAAAATAAACAAGTGGGAATTCATCAGACTAAAGAGCTTCTACAAGGCAAAAGAAACTAGAATCAAAACAAAGAGACAACCCACCAATTAGGAGAAAATATTTGCAAATCAGATATCTGACAAGGGGTTAATCTCCATAATATATAAGGAACTTAAACAACTGAACAATAAAAAAACAAATAGCCTGATCAAAAAATGGGCAGAGGATATGAACAGACATTTTTCCAAAGAAGATATACAGATGGCCAATAAACACATGAAAAGATGTTCAACATCACTAATCATCAGGGAAATGCAAATCAAAACTACACTAAGATTTCACCTTATGCCTGTTAAAATGGCTATAATCACTAAGACTAAAAATAACAAATGTTGGAGAGGGTGTGGAATAAGGGAACCCTCATACACTGCTGGTGGGAATGCAAACTAGTGCAGCCACTATGGAAAACAGTATGCAGATTCCTCGAAAAACTAAAAACTACCATACACCCAGCTATCCCACTATGGGGTATCTACTCAAACAACTTGAAATCAGCAATTCAAAGTAACATATGCACCCATGTTCATTGCAGCACTATTCACAATAGCCAAGACATGGAAACTATCCAAGTGCCCATTGACTGATGACTGGATAAAGAAGATGTGGTATATATACAACAGAATACTACTCAGCTGTAAAAAAAAAAGACAAATTCATCCCATTTGCAACAACACGGATGGACCTGGAGGGAATTATGCTAAGCGAAATAAGCCAGACTAAGAAAGACAAACACCAGGTGATTTCACTCATATGTGGAATATGAACAAACACATAGACAAAGAAAACAGTTCAGTGGTTACCAGAGGAAGGGGGCTGGGGGTGGGCACAGGGGTGAAGGGGAGCACTTAATGTGGTGACAGTGAAGAAATAATGTACAACTGAAATCTCACATTGAGGTAAACTATTATGATCTCAATAAAAAAACTGTACAAATTATAAAATAAGACTTTCAAATGTTACAGTTTAAAAAAGGCATTTAATGGGGCTGGCCCCGTGGCCGAGTGGTTAAGTTCGCGCGCTCCGCTGCAGGCGGCCCAGTGGTTCGTTAGTTCGAATCCTGGGTGCGGACATGGCACTGCTCATCAGACCACGCTGAGGCAGCGTCCCACATGCCACAACTAGAAGAACCCACAACGAAGAATACACAACTATGTACCGGGGGGGCTTTGGGGAGAAAAAGGAAAAAATAAAATCTTTAAAAAAAAAAAAAAAGGCATTTAATGTAGAACACAGGGTACATTTTAAGACGCTTAACATAGTAGAGGATGCGCCTGGGGCCATGGCAGTCTTATAAAGGCCCTGCTGCCGTCCTCATCTCTCACCCGCCAGAGCACACCTGTGATGTTTCCAGTGCATGAGTGAGAGGAGACGAGCTGAGTCTCAGTCTGAGAGGAAAGAACTACCTGGAATAATTAGAGGGAACAGTCACCTGAGCTCACACAGGTCCAGGAATAATCCGTTTCCCCCAGCAACAATGGAAAACTTCAAGATTCACAAACATTGAGTAGAGTACTAAGAGTCTCGCCCAGTGGGAAAAATTAGCCCTAGAATAGATGTAGCTCGGGTATCACCCATCAAATCCTATAAATTAGAAAATCAAACTATTACTAAGTAACTTAACTGCATGCCAGAACAAAGCTCAAGAACACTTATAAGAATACAAAAATATCCAGCATCCAAAGGAGTAGAATTCACAATGCCTGGGATCCAATAAAAATATTACCTGGCATACAGAGAGGCAAGAAAATATAAGCCATAATAAAGAGAAAAATCAATCAATTGAAGCTGACTCATAATCAAAACAGATATTGGAATTAATAGACAAAACAGATATGAATATATTCCACATGTTCAAAAAGCAAGAGGAAATGCTGAATATGTTAAGTAGAAATGCGGAAGATAGAAAAGAACCCAAATTGAAGTTTTAGAGATGAAAAATACAATGTCTGAGATGAAAAATACACTGGATTAGATTAATAACAAGATTTCAGAGCAAAACAAATTAGATGGGCAGAAAAAAAGATAAGTGAATTTGAAGTCACAGCAATAGAAACAAAATGAAACAAAGAGGAAAAAAAATGAAGAGAGTGAGGTATGGGATAACTTGAAGTAGCCTAATATAAGAGTGATTGAAATCCCCAGAGGAGGGAAGAGACCAAAAAGAAATTGTAGAAATAATGGACAAAAACTTTCTAAACTTGATGAAAACTATAAACCCACAGATCCAAGAAGAAAAATAAATCCTAAGCAAAGAAAACATGAATAAGTCTATACCAAGGCACATCATGATCAAATCGCTCAAAGCTAATGATTAAGACATAACCTGCAGTGAACAAGGGTTCCCTTCTCTCCACACCCTCTCCAACATTTGTTGTTTCCTGTCTTGTTAATTATAGCCATTCTGACCGGAGTGAGGTGATACCTCATTGTAGTTTTGATTTGCATTTCCCTGGTGGCAGTGCAAACTGGTGCAGCCACTATGGAAAGCAGTTTGGAGTATCCTCAGAAAATGAAGGCTAGATCTACCATATGATCCAGCTATTCCACTGCTGGGTATTTATCCAAAGAACTTGAAAACACAAAGGCATAAAGATACTTGCACCCCTATGTTCATTGCAGCATTATACACAATAGCCAAGACTTGGAAGCAACCTAGGTGCCAAATGGATAAAGGGACAAATGGATAAAGAAGATGTGGTATTTACACATGATGGACTACTACTCAGCCATAAGAAATGATGAAATCCGGCCATTTGTGACAACATGGATGGACCTTGAGGGTATTATGCTGAGTGAAATAAGTCAGAGGGAGAAAGTCAAATACCATATGATCTCACTCACAAGGAGAAGATAAAAACGACAAAAAAAAAACCAAAACACATAGCATTGGAGATTGGACTGGTGGTTACCATTGGGGAAGGGGGGAGGGGGGAGGGCAAAAGGGGTGATTAGGGTCACATGTGAGAGGATGCACTATAACTAGTGTTCGGGTGGTGAACATGATGTAACGTATACAGAATTTGAAATATGATGTACATCCGAAAAAAATAAAAATTAAAAAAAAAAAGAAAGATATGGCAAAACCCAAAAAGAAAAAAAAAAAAGACAAAACCTGAAAAGCAGCCAGAGGAAAAAAGACATGTACAGAGGAACAAAGTAAAGGATGACAGCAGATTTCCCAAAGGAAACAGTGCACACAAGACGACAGAGGAGCAACAGCTTCAAGGTATGGAAAGAAACAACAATCA